TACGTTCCTTTTAGCTTGGAAGTTAGATGTTGGAGCTTGGAATGATGTCACTTCCAAGTTGATCGTGTTCCTGTTTAAATGGAAAGTTGGATTTTCTGAGTTCCGACTTGCACGTTTCAACTGGAACGCCCCACTTTTCCCTGCTCGGACACTGAGGTGAGCCACCACCGCAACCACAAACAATGTTTTCCTCCACCAAAAAAGGCAAAACTCACTTCCGCCCAGCCTGAAAAGGGAAAAGTTCTCATTCTCACGAATACACATGTATTCTGTTCCTCATTTAGGCTCATTTTAGCGCCTCCCCACGGTGATTTTTGTGTACTGCAGGCATTCAATGTACATTTAGCAAGTCTTTCTCCATTTTGTTTGCAGTCATAGTTCATGCAAGCTGCAGACTTCCTCATTCTCCCCTTTTCGTTTGAGCCTAGGAAAATATATGCCTGTAAGTTTACAAAATATTAAAACTTAAGTGTTGTTAATAGTCCTCCGATAAAATCATAAATTCAAATGCACATGAATTTGTCTCACTATAAAGAGAAAGAGAGAAAACATTCAGGTCTTTCAAATTTGCTGTGAATAATTTTAAGGTCTAAATGAAAATATGATGAGTAAACTGTATGTCTCTCTCATTCTGTATATAGATCTATGTTGAACCACATTTTACCAAAGGATCTTTAAAGAAATATTTCCATCATAGAGAACAACCACATAATCATGCAGAGAACCATTTCTGCATTCAAATGGTTTAAATGTTAACGGTTCTACATAGAACCACGCATTTACAAAAGACAGAGGCATTGGCTGGGCACGTAAAGATCTGGGACTCAGCCCAGTTCACTGTAGACTTGCTTTGGGATAATGTCACCCCAGAAATATTTGTAAGCTAACCTTGTTGCTACTTTTATATTTAGTGTGAGGTTTTACACATCAATAAAATGTGCATCCAGCAATTTTGATTAGCATGGCTAATAAAAGAAATAAATGTAATAAAGAAGAGTGAAAACACTATATGCAACAGAAAATGAAAAAATATGTCAAAAACATGTCCGATGTTTCCCCAGTAACATTGTTATAGGTTACCTGCACACCTGCCCTCTCTCCCCATCAGTCTCTTCTACACATCTTTCAAATCTCCTGCTGACGCAGGAACAGTTTTATCTGTACCATCAAAAAAATCACTCAGTTTTCGACTTTAATCAGTTTTCTCTCATTGATATGACTTAACAAAGCATATCTGTGAAACTGAGTTAGTTAGTGTTGTTTCAGTGAAATTGAGTTGTCAGATTTACTTCATAAAATGTAATCCTGTTGAATAAAACTCAACATATTTTCCATTGGCTCATGGCATCATACATCTGCTAAATTATACTTCTTTCTCAGTAATGTAACACAAAACCTCAGATTAAACAGTAGGAAGAGTCCCTTGAGCAGGGATACTACACAAGAGAATCATTAAAAGGATATGAAACTGAGTGAAAATGAGTAATAAAAGTGGCATTCTGTGTAATGCTCTGAATACTCAGTACTGGATTATCTGAAAAACACTAAGTAAAAAGATAGTGGGTCAGCAGGCCAACAGGAGCCCACTGAATGTCTACTTACATTAATCCCAACCACCTAACCACAATGCTTACCCAAGGCTTCCTATTTGCTGGTGTCATATTTAAATTTTCCACCTTAAATCGTGTGGCAGGTATCTGGCACCATCTAATGGGAAAACTCAAATGAGAAGCTGGCAAAGAAGAAGCTGTGTCAAAAAGCTTTGGAAAAAACAGGCCCGCTGCTGTAGATTCAGTTTAGGTTACCACAGTTACAATTACGGTGCAGCGTGAAAGGCACACACAGTCCTAATCAGGCAGAGAAGTTTTTGCAGCTTTAAGTTCCATTTGAATTTTTTTTTTCAAATCTGACTTTGGTTACAGTGTATAAAGCTCTGTTTCTACACCTGCTGGTCAGACTGGGTGTTGTGATCAGGATGGACAGAGCACTCTTTAAAGAATATATATTTCTCGATTTTTGTGTATCTTCTTAAATTTGTCTTTGAAGGCTCTTGCATATAATATGATACTCATATGTTTCATATCAAAATGCTCTGTTATCATCATTGCTACTTTCTAAAACTGCTACAGCAACTTCAGCAGCTGTAAGCTCTTTCCATGCCATTCCACATTCTCCATCAGTCCACTCGTAGACACTTGTTAAAAGGAACACTCAGGAAATCACTGACTCGGTGTCATTTCCTGAGTGTCCGTTGGTCCGTTTCACACAGAATGTAGACACATGAATGCACCAATTACACACAGTAAGAGATGGATGAACTGTATCCCAACCCCTCTTCATAGGGTTATAACTCCAGATGTGAGTCATGAACAATCTTGAGATCTTGACAGCAGACTCCACAGATTCAAGAAATGTCTGAAACATATTTCTGTGCTGAACTATCGCAAAGATAAAGAAACATATGTAGAAACATTGAATTTGACAGGAGGGCAACTTCAGGAACCACAAAGGATTTGAGTTTATTTAATAGGGAATTTATTAGGATTAGGTCAGTGAGAATATATAGGCTGGCAACTGACAAAACCTTGATTTGTGACTTATAGGTCATATCAATTACTTTTGACAAGTTGAGTTTAACTTGTTTGATGTTAATGAAAAGCGGTGGTTTATATTATTCATGCAGGGACATGTCTGGGGATTAGGTTAAAGGTCATCCACGTGTGATGTTAGATTTACATTTAGGTTAAAGTTTACATATGTAAGGTATTAACATTGTGTTTAATACTTACTGATGTTAAGGCAATCCACCATGGTTTCCTCAACCAGATCCTGGGTGTGTGTAGGTGAAACGTATACCCCCAGACTTTATGGAAATTTTAGCTTTGGCCCAGGTCAAAGTTTAACAATAATAAAACAGCAAAACATACATCTGTGTTAAAACCATCCAGACGCTCTGTCTCTGTCACACACCCCATTATAAACTTTATGGAACTATTTGCTGGCCCAGATTAAAGTTCAACAATAATAAAACAGCAAAACATACATCTGTGTTAGCAACATCCAGACACTCTGTCTCTCTTATACTTTTCCTTTGGTAACTGGAGTAGGAACAGGATATAAATAAATAACAAAGCTGCTAGTTCTGAAGCAGCTAGTCCATCCCTACCTTTTTATCTTTGTGAATACACCAACTGCTGTAACTCGTTAGATGTTAATATATAAAGAAAAATATAAATCTATAAAATTAAAAAAATGTTGATGAATAAAAGCTTCCAGGCCCGCTATCTTCCTTTTACCTTTCATGTGTAAACTTTAACCCTCCTAAAAAATAATGTAGCACCACATGTGGATGACCTTTAACCTAAACCCAGACCATGCATGACTAATGTAAACTTCTGCTTTTTATTAACATCAAACAAGTTAAACTTGATTTTAATTATTAACATATGTGACCTTTGACTTGTCAAAGATGACTGATGTGACCTTTGACCTAGAAGTCATAAATCAAAGTTTTGTCAGTTGCCACCCTATATATTCTCACTTAGGTTCTTTGTTCTTAAATGGACTTGAATATAATATTACATTACATTTATATACATACAATCCAGTCTGAATACAGAACACCACAATATAATTTTGTCTATAACAGCATTGTCATCTGAATTCTTTTTTTACTTGTGAATTTTATGTTTTATCCAAAACCTCTGGCAAAATTAACTCCATAATACTTTATCACAGTAAGCTATGATTCATAAAGAAACAACCAGCTTTGTATAAAAGATGTTCTGGATTTGCTTGTAAAATTAAAAAACCTGAAATGTGTGCTTTCCTTACAGAAAACAAAACAGTACACTCAAAACATACTTATAAAATAGACAGTTCTGGTTCTAAAATCCAGTTGGCCACATTGTAAGCCATTAATTGAATGTATCCAATTGAAGGATCCAAGTACTTTGAATGAACCACTGAGAGCAGCAATTGCTGTAGTAAGATTTCATAAAACTGCAAAAAAAAAGAAAAGTAATAAATATGTTACTTGAATGCCCTACATGCTTCCATGACTGTTTTTGGTTAGATCTGTCTTATGCAGTACTAAACCCAGGCTCAAATGGTAACCAGTACTATGCACTATGTGAGTTCCATCCATTCATGGAGGAAGGGTACATGCAGCGTGTTGTGAGGCAAAATAGTCCCAAAAGAAACTATTATACCACTATTTTACCATCATTTTACCAGATTTTATTTGCAACACAGACTCTTAAATGATACTTTTTTTCTTAGATTTCTGCATCATTCAGATCTTAACAAAATCATTGGGAGTGGTTTGTTGTGACATGGTTAATGTAGAGACGCTTATTTCTTTACAGCGGTGATGATAGGAACCAGGGGTTGCCATGACTACAACACCAATATAGACATTTTATTTGCTATCCAAAACCACCAGTGGACCTGATAATGGTAAAATAGTGGAAAATCTTAAATAATAAGTTTTCTTTGAGGACTATTTTGCTCACAATGTCCTGCAAGTATCGCTCCATCATTAATATATATATATGTCTTAGGCCAAAATCCATTTTTGACTATTGTAAAACAACACCAGGCAGTATATTTATAAACATGTCATGTAATAACTTACAGTGCGAGCTTTTAGATGACGTCTGGCTCCTATCACCACCACTGTGAACAATTCTGACTCTAGAAATCTAGAAATGAGCATTTCACATCAAACCACTCTGAATGACTTTGTCTACAGCTTAAGCATGTGATTTAGAGAAAACTAAGTGGAAAATATATGTTTTCTTAATATAAATATTCAGTAACGCAGGCTTTTCTACGCCTTTGTAGGCAGTCATTAATGTTCTTTCTCAAATGTTACTAAATAAAGGTTGTAGTAACTTTCCTGAAAGTCGAATACAAATTAATGATATGATTATGTGTGATATGATTGGCTGGAGTTAGCAAATGATTAATAGTAGCCCCACCCAGCCATCGTGACTCCACTGTTTATCTTGTCCCGAACTGACCTGGTGACTCAGTGAGGGAGAAGCCGGATTTTAGCTTGGTGCTCTGTAAACTCTGTCAGAAACAGAGAGAAGAGTTCAGATATCAGCGCTTTGGATTCACTCGGTAAGTTCACCACTAACAGGAATATCTGCGTGTAGTTTAAAGCAAGAACACGTTTTTATGTGTTTCACAGATACTAAATTGTTCTTTCAGCCAAACTCAGTGGAGGATTAATTATATACTGCAACAGTTACACAGTGACCGATTACTGAAACACACCGAGGCAAACATCTGGTTAGATGACCAAGAATGTGTTTGTGTGAGAATCTCAAAGTATAAAACATTGTAAACTGATCATTAAATACAATTATGTATTTACATTTAACAGTGATTACTGTTTATGTGGGATTTGTAAGTATGGCGTTGATGACAAAGCACTAAATCTGTAAAAGGCGTGTTCATATGCAGTACCGCCGTTTGACCAGCAGATGGAGCAAACAGACCTCAAGACAACGTGCTGCTTTGAAGATTTGTTTCTATTTATTATCTAGTCCTAACTGTCTATGAGAAAGACTCCGTTAAGGACATTTGCCACTTGCTTAATCTGTTAATTCTACTTGGTAAATACTTTATCCATAAAATGAAATTTACAAAGAGAATCTCAACTTACAGTGCATTTAAAAATGACTTTTACAACTATATCTCCTCAATCCAGTATATGTATTGTAAAAGAACAGTTAAGCTAATGAACGTATTGAGAAAATACAACTTTGTTTGAAGACTTGTTCCACTACCTCACGCAAGATGTGATAATCTGTTTTTCAGTTTATGAATGTGCTTTATTCTTTATGTTTTGTGTTTGTATACTGAACCCCTGTCTCTGATAATTGCTTATTCCTCCAGCAATAAAAAAACTGTCTATAAGACTAGGTATATACACTATACAATTTCAGATTATTTTCATATCAAAGGTTTCATATTTGTTGAAGTATTGTTTCATACTGTAGGTTACTGACAACTCATTAGCATATGAATGATTGTTTTAGTAGCCTGTGCATTTTTTATGGATGAACTGTTCACAGGGAGCTGCATCTCCAGCCCAGCTGTGTTTGTATGAAGAGGAACGCTTACATGATGGAGTCTCATGACACCAGTAGTGTAGGAGGACCCTCCGCCTCAGAGTGAGTAACTTTTACAACAGCACCTAACAGGAAAAAGAGGAAACAAGAGTTTCCCTTTTGAGTCTACGTCCTATTTCTTCCTCATGATCTTATGTATCTTTTCCTTGCTAGTCTGAAGCTGCTTTGTAACAGCACTGTACAAATAAAAAACAATTACATTTTAGTCACTTGTATTATGAGTTTTAGTAAATAATGTAATTACTCAGTACTTTACTCTCATCATGGATGAACTGTTTTCATTACTAGTTCTGAGAATGAAGCATCTAAAATGAATTCCTAAAAAAATCTAACACCATGTGAGTGAAGTACTCCACACTGCTTTCAGTTTCAGTTTAACGTATGGTCCGTAAATTCATGAAAATTCATGGAATATAGAAATTAGTTTTTCTAGGCCTGGAAAAGTTATGGCATTTTTCTCTCATGTGGTTCTTCAGGCAAAACAAAATACATAGACTCTGGAAATATGGAACATCAATGTAGTGAGCAAAATGACAGATCCATTATCTGATGTGAAATGTTAAACCTGGTGCAGATATTCATATGTTAAATTTCAATTTCACTTACAATCTTTACATTTGAACTGCATTCTGACTTAATATTTCAATAATACATTAATTTTAAATGAATGCTTAAAGATTTAGGTCTTTTTCCTTTCAGGAGAGCTGTTTATATGTGTTAAATTAGTGCTGAGTGGTGCTGATTAAATTCAATATAATATTTTCAAATATACCACAGTATCATTCTATGAGATGATATTAAAGTTTAATATTAATGAAGTTTTTATGGATTTTAAGTAAATGACTTAACTGTCAAAGCTTGCATACCAAGAGAAAAGCGCACAAAATAATATAAATGCTCATTATCTATCAAATATATCCTTAAAATAGGCAATATAATGAGTTATGTCAAAAGTATACTGGTGTAGATGATACACTATATGGCCAAAAGTATGTGGACACCCTTCCTAATGTGTGAGTTCAGTGTGTCCTTCATTCTCTCTCTCCTGCCATTTCCTTTCACTCTCTCTGTCTGCTGCTGTCTCCTTCACTGTCTCAGTCTCTGATGTGCTCTTATTGTCTTTCTCTCTTCTGCTGCCTCCTTTCCCTTTCTCTCTCTCCATTACACATGTTGAAAATGAAGACACAAGTTAGATATGAATAACGTCTTTTTCTCGGACATCAACCACTGAAATGACCAACATGCACTTCTCTAAGATTTAGCCATTTCTGATGACTGTATTTCAGTGAGATTTAAGCTTAATAACCACAAAGCACTTCACTGTGATTATGTACACATCAGGGTATCTTAGCTACGAGCTTCTCCTGCATCTCACGCAGCTTCACATTAAGATATTCCTAAATACTCATGTGTTAAGAAATTGTTAAATGAATCACCAACTAAGAGTCAAATTCAGTCAGACAACTTTGCTAGTTACATGTAGTAGCTAGCAAACTGCTCACTCTCTCTGTTTCCTTCATTCTCTCACTCTCCCTCCAGCTCCTTCACTATCTCCCAGTCTACTTAACTCTCTCTGATTCTCCTGCTTTCTCCTTCACTCTCTCTCAGTCTCCTTCTGTTTCCTTCACTATCCTACTATCTCATTCATTCTCTCTCTCACCATCCTATTGTCTCCTTTACTGTCTCTCTCTTCCCCAGTCTTCTTCGCTCTCTCTCCCACCATCTTCTTCACTCTCACTCCCCTGCCATCTTTTTCACTCTCTCTCTCTCACCTGCTATCTCCTTTGTTCTCTCTTTCTTCCACCATCTACTTCACTTTCTCTCTCTCTCCCCACCGTCGCTGTCTCTCTCTCTCATTCACTCTTTGTTGTTCTCCCGTCATCTTTCACTCTTTCTCTCTCCTGCCATTTCCTTCACTCTATCTCAGCCTCCCATTCTGTCCTTCACTCTCTCTTCTGCCATCTCCTCCGCCCCCCCCTCTCCTCTCCTCTCCTCTCCTCCACTCTCTCTTGCTCATCTGCTATCTTGCTCACTTGCTCTCACCGGCCATCTTTTTCACTCTCTCTGTCCTGCAATTACCTTCACACTCTCTTGTTCTCCCATCCTCTCCTTCTCTCTTTCTCTACTGTCATATCCTTCACTCTCTCTTGCTCTCCCATTATCAATTATCATTTGTTCTCTCTCTCTGTCTTTCCCACCATCTCCTTCATTCTCTTTCTCTCCCGCCATCAGCTTCACTCTTTCTCACCCTCACCATGCCCCAACACTAGCTCTCTTAATGTAGCAGACAATTTTAAAGCATGTTGTTTTCATAAATGGATTGATGAAAATGCCAAATATTTAATGAGTAAATATGAGTAGATATGTACTTGACTGGGTGTCCTAATACCTGGACACACTGCCAAAGTATGAGCTATATGTGTACTGAACTTGTTCCGTGTATAGAACTGAAGCACTGGATTATATTTTATTTCACTACTTACCATAGCAGATAAGAAGGACTTACAGTAAATCAGTGAAAAGTTTATCCTGATTTATGAGTTATTTCTGTCACATTCACCTTCATTTCTACTTTGTTTCTACTAGCTGTGGGAGGGATGATCCAGATGATGTCCTTCAAAGAGTCTTAGTGAGACACAAAAGCAGCATGAAGAACAAGTATGAGAGCTTATTTGAGGGAATTAGAACACAAGGCAATAAAACCCTTCTGAACACACAGCTCTACATCACAGAGGGTGAGAGTGAAGGAGTGAATGAAGAACATGAGGTTTTACAGATGGATAAAACTTTCAGGAAAAAAATACAAGACACCCCAATCAACTACTCAGATATATTTAAACCTGTAGAAGATCCTAAAGGAGAAATGGAAGAACAGAATATTAGATATGAGATGGCTAATACTGCCAGAGAAGAAGAAAGAAAAGAAGATGGAAAAACAAAAGAGCCCAGAACTGTCCTGACTAAAGGCATCGCTGGCATTGGGAAAACTGTGTCTGTGCAGAAGTTCATTCTGGACTGGGCTGGAGGAAAAGCCAATCAGGATGTAGATTTCATGTTTGTGCTTCCATTCCGGGAGCTGAATCTGATTAAAGATGACCAGTTCAGTCTTTATAGACTTCTGTGTGATTTCCATCCTGAGCTTAAAGATCTGGACCCAAAAAAATATGATTCATACAAAGTTGTGTTTATCTTTGATGGTCTGGATGAAAGCAGAATTCCACTGAGTTTTTCACAGAGTAAGAAAGTATCTGACATAACAGCATCTTCATCAGTGGGGATGTTGGTGACAAACATAATCAAAGGAGATCTGCTTCCCTCCGCACGCATCTGGATAACCACCCGACCAGCAGCAGCCAATCAGATCCCTCCTCAGGACATCAACCGAGTGACAGAAATTCAGGGATTCAGTGATCCACAGAAGGAGGAGTACTTCCAGAAGAAAATCAGTGACCAAGACCAAGCCAAGAAAATCATCTCACACATTAAGACAGCAAGGAGCCTTCACGTCATGTGCAACATTCCAGTCTACTGCTGGATCTCAGCTACTGTGCTTCAACAAATGATAAACCAGAGTGACACAGAAATACCCAAAACTCTGACTGAAATGTACATACACTTCCTGCTCACTCAGACCAATATGAAGAATGAGAAGTATGAAAGTAAAGTTGATTGTGATCCAGTGGAACTTCTGGAATCTAACAGAGAGATGATTCTGAAACTGGCTGAACTGGCTTTCAAACAGCTGATGGAGGGCAATGTGATGTTCTATGAAGAGGACCTGAGAGAGTGCGGCATTGATGTCACTGAGGCTTCAGTGTACTCTGGGATATGCACTGAGATCTTTAAGGAGGAATCTGTGCTTTACCAGAGGAAGGTCTACTGCTTTGTGCATCTGAGCTTTCAGGAGTTTCTGGCTGCTTTCTATGTGTTTTACTGCTATGTGAGCAAGAACATGGAGGCACTGCAATTTTTTTTGCAATATGATTATGCCAGCAAAGACATTGAGAGCATTGAAGACTATGAGTCTATTTTCAGTGACTTACTTGATGTCCCACAGTGTTGGAATGGTTTATTGAAAGAACTATTGACAGAAGCAGTGCGTAAAGCTGTAAAGAGTAAGAATGGAGACCTGGATCTTTTCCTCCGTTTCCTGTTGGGCATCTCACTGGAGTCCAGTCAGAAAGTGCTACAGGGTCTATTGACAAACACAGAAAGCACCTCAGAGAGCATCACCGAAACAGTCAAGTACATTAAACATCTAATACAAACAAAGAATCTTCCTACTGAGAGAGCCATTAACCTCTTCCTCTGTCTGACTGAAATGAATGACCAGTCTCTTTCCAGAGAGATTCAGGAGTATCTGAAATCACAGAAAAACACAGGAACCAAACTCTCTGCTGCTCACTGCTCAGTAATAGCTTACATGCTGCAGTTCTCAGAGGAGGTTCTTGATGAGTTGGGCCCAAAGAAATTCAACACATCAGAGGAGGGTTACAGGAGACTGATTCCAGCTGTGAGCAACTGCAGAAAGGCTCTGTAAGTGTTAATGAATTCATGTTACTTGTTACTATTAGTATTTGAATACTGGTGCATGAAAAAAGAACACATTATCATATGCTGGGTTTTGGTTGTTTAATAAATACATTTAAAAGTCTTAGAGTAAAAACAACCATAAAATATTTTTTCTCACAGCATAGTTGACCCTTAAGTGAAGATGGAACTAATTAAAAGCAATCAAACATCACTTTTCAAATATGGAGAAGAAAATTTAACAATTGAATCACAGATAAAGCTTTAATCTAATAAGTAAACTAAATAGAGAAAATCATTAAGGGTGTGGTATTTGTCTCCAGCACAGCAACAATAAAAATCAATGAATGAATACAATGCAGTGAACAGAAAGTTTTACCTAATACAACAAGGACACACAGTGCCATTAATGGAAAAACTCTTGTGTGAGAGATAAACTCTCATGAACTACAAAAAAAAAATGCTAATAGCGCCTATTGTGGAAAGCGAGTGAATGACAAGCCAGGACCTTGAGGTGCTTTTACATTTAAAATCACTTGAATAAGGCAAAATATAACGTCGCTAAGACATATGGTTTAAAATAAGAGAACGGTGAGAATACACATAAAGAGAGATGACCGACAGAAGGAAAAGATCAGTCTGTCCCTGGGCATCAGCTGGACAAGCAAGTGTATGTTTATTTAAATTATATGTATATTAGGCTTCATTTTCTAATTTGTTGTTACAGAGTGAGAGCTATATCGGCTATTAACGTGACTCCATGTTGCTGACTGTAGCCCGTCTTTTCCTGCACAATGTATCAGCTCTAGTTGCTAGGTATTATGGATAAACATATTTTTTACAGTTAAGCTGGCAGAGTAACCAATGTCCAAATATATACTTTTATTATCTTACACATAGTTTAACACAGTAAATTACTTATTGATATGCATGTTTTAATGTAACTTTAACAATTGATAATGCATATCATTTCACTAAGTTGCAATACAAATGATTTTTCTAGGAAATGTTTTTGTCAGTGGACACTAACCTGCTCCTGGAAATCTGCCTTCCTGGAGATTAGCTTCAGCCTAAATCTAACATAACTGACCCAAATAATTATGTGGAATGAAATCACGTGCTCAGTCAGGCTTGGAAGTGAACTCTCCAGGAAGGTTTATGTGAATGGTAAGTGGAGTTGAGCTCTGGAACTGGAACTTGATGGAAATCTAAATCATTTGTAGTACATTTAACTATTCAGTGTGATAAATTGCTACATAAATGAATCAAATATACTTCCATCTTTATTTAGCTCAGATTATTGCCATTGTTTTTACTGTTATTACACAGTGGTATTGCTTAGATTAAATGGCCATATTAAACTAACCATGCCAATCAATCCTAGATCAGAGCACTGTTGACTAAATCTGCTGTAGCTCGTGAATGCTTTGTCTGATTCTAGTTAAACTTGATATACTTGTGTTTCAAAAGATTGTAAGGTAGCCTGATAATTTTGATGCACGTATGTCAATAAGGGATGTTATAAAATCTAGGTAGCTGTTTTCTAGTATCCAATCAAATTGAGATTTTGCTTGTTGCATCGTTAATCTTAGAAGAATTTTTAAGAATGACCTGATGATTGGAAAACTGTGGCTGACATCAGCCAATCAATGTTCAGCAGGTATTTTACAGGCTTAACGTTGACCAATCATCATGAAACTTGAATGGTGTGTCTTCGTAGGGACTCGATTACCCTATGCGGTTTCAAAAAAATTGACCACTGGGGCACTAGTCAATTTGCATATAATCTTATTCAGATTATCTCATACATCATTTCACTTGAGGACTTAAAACTGGAGTCAAATAATGCAGTTTAATGAGCCTAATAACTCTGAAATTACAAGTACTGAAATTTTATGGTATTAAAAGAAAATATAGTATTTAATAAGAAAATATGTAATACTTACAAATAAGTTTCAGGTACGTATTTTGCAAGTACATAGTACATGCCAGATATGTACAGCAGCACTTAATCAGCGTTTAAGGGTAAATATTTAATATTTACAATAAACAACTGGCACATACTTTGCAAATTGAACATGTAACTACCACAACTAATGCGAGAAACATGAGGTATATTTCAGCTTTCATTGTCGAAAAGTTACATGGTAATACCAAATACTACCAAACTGCTTCAGGAAGTTCATGACTATGTTATGCATATGTGATGGAGAAGAGTAGGTTACAGGTACAGGTAAGAATAGTGTGAAACCTTTTGAATCTCTTTTGAATCTCTCTTTTGAAGTCTACACTTCAATCACATCTTGATCACTTCTAGGGGATCGCTTCATCCCCATTTTACTTCAAAACAAATGTTGGGACACTAAATGCGTACGCATTCAAACCAGATAACTTGTATAATCAATGTACCATCCCACACAGCTGATTCTAATTTCATTAACTTTCTCAAAGATAAAGTTAGTAAAATAAGACAACTTTAAAACGAGTCAAATTAACCTGACAAAATATCGTCTCTTGGTAATAAAATTTCTTTGTGGACAGGAATGTTGAAAATTCCAAAATCAAGTCTAAAAATGTACTGAAGTCATGGAGACAGGACATGTTCAAAACCTGCTACAATCTGATCGCCCAAAAGAGAACATCCAATAAGCCTGGTGGAACATCAGTTGTGTAAACTTATGCACTGCATGCCCATAAGACTTCAAGCTGTCATCCAAACGAAAGGATATGCAGTGAAATACTGACTTAAGTAAAATTCTAAATTGTCTAATAAAAATGATTACTAAGAATTTTTTTAAGAACAGTGAAAGGAAACTGCTAAATAGATGATAGAAATCAAAAAGAGAAGACAAAAAGAGAAGATTGTTTTCAATAATAAATCTGAGCAAAAGTAACACTCTGATTGAATATTTGTTTTTTTCTTATCAGTCGCCTTGTCTTCTTGTATGCCCTTAATGCTGTAGCCATTGTCAATGTAATGGCATCTCCTTATTTCGGCATTTAAAAATGCTGTTTTACAGGATGTTCATGTTAGTACATATGTTTAGATTGCAATCTTGCATAATTTTCTTCCATAATTTTGCATCTCATCAGTGCCAGTCCTTAAAAAAAAATTTATGAAGTCAGGTGAACTAAAACCTGCAGCTCACTGGCAAAAGACAAAAAAAAAAATTATAAATCATTGATAAATCATAGTTTATGTTGGTTCCTGGTGGTGTCCAGTAGTCAGTAATGGTATTTTGTGTTTTAATGATAGGCTGATATCACTATGTATAGGATTCTAATGATTTAACAGTAATTTCATGGTTTCCTAATGGAATCTAAGGGTGTCCTACAGGAATCTGGTGGTCTCTAATGGCAACCACTAAGCCAAATCATCAGGTTTTAATCCTAATGGTTTTATTGATCTTTTTTTCAGCAAATTATTCTCTAATTTGAATACTGGCATTATGCCACTGATCTAACATTGAAGAAAAATTAATGAACCCTTTGCAGAACACAGGAACAATTAGAAAAGCATCACTTTCAACATAACTTTCATTAGATAATTCTTGTAAAATTTTACATTCCATGTTCTAACTGTATTACACATTTACTCTTCTTTTGCAGTCTAACAGGCTGTAATCTAGAAAAGCGTCACTGTGAAACTCTCTGCTCTGCTCTGAGATCTACAAACTCCTCCCTGAAAGAGCTGGACCTCAGTAACAACAGCCTGCAGGATTCAGGAATGAAGCTGCTTTGTGTTGGTCTGAGGAGTTCAAACTGTGAACTCCAGATACTGAGGTAGATGATTTTCTTGTTTATTTTTTGTGGTTTTAAAATGACTATATCTATTACTCTGACCATCCCATGAGATGTATAAAAGTTAAATGTGTTATTTAAATTTGTTTCTTCTTTAAAAAATATCTATATTATAAGATGTGTTGTATTCATTTGCAGACTATCTGACTGCAATCTTGGAGAAAAAGCTTGTGAAAATCTGAAATCAGTTTTATTAATGGAAAACTCCCTGAAGGAACTGGATCTCAGTAAGATTGATTTGCAGGACGCAGAAGTGGAAAATCTCTCTGCTGGACTGAAGAGCTCACACTGTAAATTGCAGACACTCAGGTCAGCTTTCTGTGAAACCGCTTCTGGAAAGTAATTGCTGTATTGGAATAGATTAGGAAAAAAGTCATGAAAAAAATGTATCTAATGTAGCTAATTAAACTCAAAGGATTAATGAAAGAAAAGATTTTTTTCTAGAATGCCTTCCAAAGTTTCTTGGCATGGAAGTGGCATCTAATTGTAGTTTTGCAGATATGGTGACCAAAAAAATGCAACTCTTCCAAATCTCCAACCGTGATACTGAAGAAATTGGCTCTCGAACCATCCTCACAACTTCTGTATTGTGTATGTGCAAAGTACACTTCCAGGCAGATTCACTACAGCCTTCAAACTTTATATCTTTACATCTAAAACTTCTTAATTATTACCAAACAGTGGATATGGGCATTTTCAGGTGTGTAGCTATTTTGGTAGCCATTGTCTGATTTACATAAGTCAGTGCTTTATTGTCCTATTTTATTTATGTATTCTCTGTTTTCCATGTATTCTAACTTTATTAAAGCTATTAAGTGTTCTTACCCTAGTGCAGCCCTGAAGACCAGTGTACTGCACAGACTAGTATTTACCCTGTCTCTACATCAAAAAAATAAGCCTTGTGGCATTAAGCTGTGTTAGAATAGGGAAAAAACTGTGCAGTACTGAGGCATTATGTCAAAAATATTACAGCCAAATTATATCATTATAAGCAAACAAGACAGCTGTGACAAAATGAAAACATTTCTTGATTCATTTTTTCTATGTAAATCCATTTTGTTGTTCACAAATTTTTCTTTGACTGTATTTTAATATGTGTTGTGTCCACCTGCCTTTTGCAGACTGTCTTTGTGCAATCTTGGGGCAAAGGCTTTTGAAAATCTGAGTTCAGTTTTAACATTGGAGAACTCCACCCTAAAAGAGCTAGACCTCAGTAACAATGACCTGCAGGAATCAGGAATGGAGCTGCTCTCTGTTGGACTGAAGAGTTCACAATGTGAACTCCAGATATTAAGGTTAATGTCTAAGATGTTTATTACAGTTCTGTTATATCTTTTACAACTCTGATCATCCCATGACAAGTTTTAATTGTGTTGTTTACACTATTGTGAACTCTCATCATGTTGTTAAAATTCCTTTGACAAATTCTCCTTTCTGTATGTTTTATTCTCTTTTTGCAGACTGTCTGGCTGCAACATTAGAGAAAAAGCTTGTGAAAATCTGAAATCAGTTTTACTAACAGAAAACTCCTCCCTGAAAGAACTGGACCTCAGTAATAATGACTTACAGGACTCAGGAGTGGAAAAGCTCTGTGCTGGACTGAAGAGCTCACAATGTAAACTGCAGATACTCAGGTCAGCTTTTTGTGAATAAACTTCTGAATGATAAATGAAAATAATGAGAGAAAAAATGTTTAGAATTAGAATACAAAACCTTTAAAAAAACTTTTGGTTTTTAACCAAACCCTGTTTCACAATTATTGGAATCCTTGCATTTAGTACTTTGTACAGTCTCTCTTATATAAATATCAGCAAAAAGCTTTTTCTAATCATGCTTAATAAGAGTGGAAAATACAGAGCAGAAAATCTGAGGCCACAACTCAAAACAGAAGCTCTCCAGATCCTCCAGGGTTCTAGATCCTTTCTTTTAGACTCTCCACTTCAGCTCACCCCAAAGATTTTCAGTGGGGCCTTGGTCAGGGGACTGGAATGGCCATCATTGACCTGCTGTAAGATCTAACCACAACACAGTTTTAGCTTTTCTGCCAGCAGCTGGCAGATTTTCATTTAAAATCTCATTTATTTACCAGGTGCAGGTTGCAGTGTGCAGTTTTGTGTATAAACCTTGCATACGTACACTTTTATGCATAGAACATGATGTATCTGTTTTTCTTGTGTGTGAGAACATGCACATACTTTAAACTGCTCTAGTGATGTAGTAGGCCCTAGTGACAGAAAAAAGGCAGATCTAAAGATTGATTGGTTGATATTGTCTTGTTTCTTCATATCAGATATTCAATTTAAACTAATAGATAATTTTCTGCTACTACAAATGAAATTTGAAATTCAGTTCACACTAGCAAGAATGTATGCTTTTTCCCCAATTCATTTTAATGGAAGAAACAATTTAACCCAATATGAATTAAGTTTTTACATGTATTAATTGAACTGACAAAAGTGAAAAAAAATGAAATGTTTAAAATTGAAATTGAATTTTAATTTCATTTTAAAATCTAATGTAATTACTTTTTGGAATTGAAAACATTACACTTTATATGTAAGCAAACTACAATTGTACATGTAATAATTCAGTTCAACTTTTCATACACTCCAAACACTACTAGAACATTTATAAAGGGAAGTTATTTATCATGTATAGCTAAGTGGGGGAATTTCTTTATGTAAATATGCCTGGGCATGCAGAAGCAGAAAAGTGAAGGATTTATCATTACTCATTGTGCACAGTGGTGCATTCACATGATTGATAAATCCCTATACTAGCAGTTCTTAGGCACAGATCTAGAACAGTTCTTAGGCACGCTGTGATATATGAGGCACTTAATACATGGGGTCCAAGATGCTGTGTGTCCTAACAAGTTTCCCATGACCTTTGGAAAACAAAACAGTGACAGAACATTACACATCCTCCTCCATACTTAAGCAGTGGGGATCCTTTTTATGCCAAGTCTACCCTGAGTGTGTGTTGGCAAAAAGCTCTAATTTTGTCTATAATCAGGTGAACTTCCTGCCAGTTCATCCTGAATGGAAAAGAAAGTTATTAGTTAGTTGTTAGTTGTTTTTATTCATTTCACCTTTCTGTGAATTTGCTTTTGAATGTTGAATTCTGATATTCAGTCATTTTCAGAGCTGCAGAGATGGTGATAAATATCTTTGGTTCCCAATTTCACTTACATTGTACAGGGCTGCTTTTAATACTGGTCAGAGCAATGTCCTATTTAATATGACTTTTTAAAATAGTTATATTATTGTGCACTATATGTTTTAATGTTAAATCATATATGTACAGTTTACAAAGGTTATGTAAATTTCCATTAGAAAATCCCTTTCTATTTGTCTTGGGGTCTGTTTTACCAGACCTAGTTGACTGAATCTTGTATCTTCTCTATTCCAATACTGCCTCACTTGACAGATATGTACGCACTTCTCAAACCTGAAGACATTTGTGACAAAGTAGGAGTCACTCTTCTTTTGCAGACTAGCTTTGTATAATCTTGTATATCTTTGTATAAAACTTGTGAAAACTGACATCAGTTTTATAACTGGAAAATTCTTTGTAAGAGATGTTTGTAGAAAAACATCACAGAATTGGTTAGTGATGTTAGGTAGGAAGGCTGGGGTTTACAGTAGTTTAAAAAGCATGTTTCCAAATCTGATTCGAGTGATACACTTTGTTTTCTGTACTTACAGCATCTTAAAACATTATCCAAGGAAATAAAATGGCAGAAGATGTCAGATGGGTGTTATCATCGTTTGGAACATTTTGCTAGATTAAAGGCTTTAGTTTGACTTTCATCTTTGTCAGATAAAAATCAGGAGATTCACTCACTGAGCACTTTATGAGGAACCCTCCTTTGCTCTCAGAACAGCCTCAATTCTTCATGACATGGATTCCACAAGATATTGGAAACACTCTTTTGAGATTCATGTTCATGAAACCAGTTTGAGATGACTTTTGCTTTGTGACATTGTCCATTATTATGATGGAAGTAGCCATTAGAAGATGGGTGAATTGTGGGGATGCACATGGTCAGCAACAATACTCAAATAGGCTATGGCATTCAAGCAAGGTTTGAATGATATTAACAGACACAAAGTACACCAAGAAAACACCGTTACACCACCTCTACCTGCCTGGATGGCTGACACAAGGCAGGTTAGGTCCATGGATTCATGCTGTTGGAACCAAATTCTGACCCTACCATCTGTGTGCCTCAACAGAAATCAAGATTCATCAGACCAGGCTATTTTTTTCCAGTCTTAAATTGTCCAGTTTTGGTGACCCTGTGTCCACTGCAGCCTCAGCTTTCCGTTCTGGGCTGACAGAATTGGAATTTGATATGGTCTTTTGCTGTTGTAGCCCATCAAGGTTTGAGGTCAAGGTTTGACATGTTGTGCATTTTGAGATGCTTTTTGCCCACTACAATTGTACAGTTCACAGTGTAGAAGTGTACATGATTATCTGAGTTACCATAGCTTTTCTGTCAGCACAAACCAGTCTGGCCATTCTCCATTGACCAAAATGTTTCTATCTGCAGAGCTTCCACTAACTGGATATTTTTTCTTTATTGCACCATTCTGTGACACTCTAGACACTTGTGTGTGAAAATCCCAGGAGATCAGTAGCTATAGAAATACTCAATCCAGCTTGTCTGGCACCAACCATCATCCCATGGTCAAAATAACAGAAATCCCATTTTCCCCCATTCTGATGGTTCATATGAGCATTACCTGAAGCTGCTGGCCTGTATCTGCATCATTTTATCCACTGCACTGCTGTGATTGGCTGATTAGATAACTGCAAGGATGAGTAGATGTACAGGTATTCCTAATAAAGTGCTCAGTGAGTACATATTAATATAATTTTGATGCCATTGGTTGGATTTATTCAGAGCAAGTGTTAGTTAAATTCATTTAGAGCCAAGAAACTTTCAGTCCGTATCACATTTGGAAATTGAAGAGGAAGCGTTTTTGTATGTACAATTTTGTTTTGTGGAAATAAAATCCTTCTTTTACATATTTCCAAGGAATTTGTACACGAATGTGGTAAAGACTATTTAAGATTTGGTCTTAAGAAGTGTTAGATTTTTCAGGTTTTGGTCTTCACCAGGTCATTTGGACACAACATTGACTCAATCTTCGTTTAGTTTGTACTCAGTCTTGACTTGCCCTCTTTAGACTCTTGACTAGTCTTGGTCTTGGAATTATATAATCCGAACACTGTTCAACTTCTCAAGTAGTCAGTCGTTAAGATAAACAGACTAATAGTATGTTACTTCAGCTAACGTTACTAGTCTATTAATTTTTCACCTTGTAGCTATCAGCCCAAAACAGTGTGTTTGTGAAGATTTAGTTAACTGATGCTAATTGTGATGTATAATATTGAATTTGAGTTTTTGGCATTTTCACTGAGATACATTCTATGTAGTAAAGCTGTACTCTGCTACATGATGCTATGTGACGCTGTGCTATTTTGATCTATGCTATTCCCTATTCTGGACTAATGCTCTTTCCTATTCTGGAATAATAATTAATTTTTATTAAGTACTTTTCAGCATCACGGCATTAGCTGACAGATTTTTTTTGCATTGCTAGGTAGCAATAGCTAGCTAATGTTAATTAATTCTAGTTAGCTTATCAACCAAATAAGTTTGCAAAGTTATTTAGTGTAATGTAGTTAATGCCATATAATGAAATAAGCACAAGATGTAACATTAATTTAATAAAATATTGTTTTAATGTACTAAAAGTTATATTGGGAATATTAACTCTTAGTAATTTTAATGTTAATGTAGCTGCGGAGGACTGGTTTGAGAACCGCTGTTTTAAGGGGTCATTTCTGTAGTTGTAACCAGTTTAGCATTCAGTAGATATGTTGGCTAGATATGTAGATAAGTCCCAGCCTTAGATGCTCTACAGATGCATACATGGAGGATCTGTGGCTGAAGCTAGCCCTTGAAGAGCTGCCATAGTTTATGTTCATTATTTAACTAAAACATTAGATGCAGGCTCTGGTGGATTATGGAGTTCATGATTCTTAAATATGATATTTACATTTACAAATGCTTTTATGTCAAATGCTTTTATCCAAAGTGGCTTACACATTGATTTTTTTCACACAGGTAAGTGAATGTAGCGTAAGGAGTCTTGCCCAAAGACTCTTATTGGTATAGCGAGGGTGTTAGCGCAGGCAGGGCGATTGAACCCCAGTCTAAACTATGGCAGGCAGAGAGATGTTAATTTAAGGAGGGCTATGCTAGCCTTTGCCCTCCTAATGCTGGTGGTATTATGTGATTGGGGGAGTCCCATTGGTGGATGGAAATGGATATGACTAAATGGTGGAGACAATTGGGAAAACATAAAAAATAAATGCTTTTAGATTTTTTACACATTTAAGGCAATTTGAAATTTCAAATAGTCTAATTCACACTTAGTATTTATATTTATAGAAATGTTTGCTGTTTCTTTAATAAGATAACTGCGAGAATACTGTTTTTTTGTGTTTGTAAAAGTGATCTCTTTCTGCAGATTATCTGGGTGTATGGTCACAGAGGTGGGATGTTCTTCTCTGGCTTCAGCTCTGAGTTTAAACCCTTCACACCTGAAAGAACTGGATCTGACCTACAACCACCCAGGAGAATCAGGAGTGAAGCTGCTCTCCGCTAGACTGGAGGATCCACACTGCTCACTCAACACACTCAGGTATGAACAACTGTGTTCAGAGGTGTGTGTGAGTGTTTGGAGTGTTTGGCTCCTTAGCTTCCTGAAACTAGTCAATGTAGTATCTGATATGCAATGATAGTATCCTGCATAAGATTATTTTGTTGTGTTGTGCATGGTTTTTGGGTAAATTAGGGAATTAAGCTTTCTATGTTTGCCTAGGTTTCTTCAATGCTAGGAGTGAACAAAGAACATGAGCCTGTGTCTGCATTAGCGCTGATCGGGAGCAGAAGTATATATATTTTCTAATATATAAGAAGTATATACGTTTTCTAGTATATAAGTGTGTGTGCTACACATGTGGAGATTAGTATCCATTTATTCAATTGTAAGATGATTGTGGTTGTCATTGGTGCTAGTGCTAATGCTATTTTGGGGAAAAGAAAGTGATTAGTCAATATCTGGACTGTAAACTCCAGACTGACTACTGGGAGTGTGTGAGAAGGTTGAGGTGAGTCACTTGTGTTGAGGTGAGTCAGGATGTGTTTATTAGACAGAGAGAGAGAGAGGTACGGAGAGAGAGAAAGAGAGAGAGAGAGACAAGAGAGCTGCAACCAGTTAGGAGGAGTGGAATTAGTCCTAGTTCTGAAGCTCAGTTTCAAAAGATGACCTAAGCCCTCACACTCTGTAACATTCCTGTGGAAAGTAACATGAATCTGTAGCTACATTTGTGATGGTACAGGGAGCCAGAGCGGAAACAGGACAGACTCTTCTGAATTAGATTTTAATAAGAAAGAATGTGAATTACATTTTAAATAAAAGTAAATTTATTGCTGTTGTTGTTTTTTGACTTTAAAAAGATGGTTGCAACTAGTTGGTTACACTTGAAAATAACACTCCATACACCTGACCAGGGGAACTCTAGCTACACAGAAACTGGCTTCTGGAAGTGGCATCTCATTAGCTCTTCAGTACAACCTTTTGTATTGCCAGTGTTTGTTCATGGAGATTGTATCTGCTTGTTATCTGGCCAGGGCGGGGAGGTCAACCGATAGCGATACTAATTTATTAGTAAATTGAAAACCAAAATAAGGTACTGATATATATTTGCATTTGATGTTAAGTGTGAAAATGTATATGAACACAGTTCCTACACAAAAACAAAAAAAAAATGTTTGAAATAATAGTACTAAACATTTGATCATCAGAAAAGTAAAGTACACAGAGCACCCAGACAGCATGCACATTTGGAAACAAAATTTTAAACTAAATTCTAAATTGTGATGAAACAAGAAGCATAGGTTTTACGCAATTCTAACATATGCATTGTAGTTTGTGAATGTCTGAAATTAAGCCCAAGACCATTTTGATGATTCAACTGAGGATAGTCATTGGCCATAGACAAGGAAATGTGATGTGAGGACAAATGGTAAACATCCAAATGTTTGATGAGGCTATTAGAACTACAATATAGCAAGCTTTGTCATGCCAAATGTCCTAAGTCTAAATAACATATTTAAATGAAATATACTAAAAAGTCTGAATAAGCCCAAAAATACTGAATCTAACAGTCCCATATTTTGTACTGGTGATTAGAGACATGCTCTACTCACCACAGTATGAATTAGTTTCTTGTCATTCTAGTTACTTGACAATAAAATTTCATCACATGCTCCATCCCCAAGTAAACAAGCTAATTAGAACATCAGCGAGAAAAACTCCATATCATGTTTATTCATCTCTATTATTGTAAAAACCTTGGGAGAGACCAGGCTCTACTGGGGAAACTTGCTCACCTCAGCTAGGAAATGAGCATTTAGCAGGATCTCATTACAACCTTTATGAAAAATGTGTGTAATATTTCCTGTACTATATGCTTTTGCATAATGTTCAGGGTTTTCTTCTATTTGCAGTATATATAGATGAGAACAGTGACAATGTAGCAACCCTGTATACACTGATAAACTTTAACCCAAATTATACCATAAGGAAACCCATTCCTAGGCATACTAGAACCCATTAGCCAATGGGTCACAGAAGTAGCTTTTTCAGCTACAATGTGAAGCTGCTCTGGTAGATATAAATGCTTGTTCATTTCCAGATTTCTAGCACTGTAGAATATTTTCTTCCATACCACCTTATGGGCTATTTTAGTGATTGATCTAGGCCCAGTACCCAGCTTGGTAGTGCTGGAGTAAAGATTTCAGCAGTGACACTGGGATCTACCATTCTACAGTCTACATTCTTTCACTCTTAACTGGACCTCCCCAAAAGTTAAGCAGCTACAGCTCATTCACAATGCTGCTGCAAGGGTTTGAATCTGGAGCAAGAGAACAGAGAAACTTACTTCATTAAATTTATTTCCAGTTAGTTAAATAATAGATTTTGAAATGCTTCTACCACTAGTGTTTAAATCATTGAATGGTTTAAGACAGTGAAAATTGCAAATTGGAAGTGCTTTGATATCTTTTAAAGACTTCTCCTTGTCAATTAGCTTCATCTTCTTAAGTAAAATAGGTTCTGAGACATTACAACAAGAAGTGTTTGCGCAGAACAAAGGCATTTTGCCCAAATGCAGTATACACTGTATGATCAAAAGTATGTGTAGACCTATACATCACAACTATCGAGTTTGTTGGACATCCCATTCCAAAATATTGTGGTTTAATAAAGAGCTGCCCCCCCCACTTTTTTGTGGCTATAACAGCCTCCAATATTTTGGGAGGGCTTTCCACATTTTAGACTGTGTCTGTCAGAATCCCATTATTGAAGTCATGCACTGATGTTGTATGAGAAGGCATGGCTCACAATCAGTGTTTCAGTTCATCCCAAATGTTTTCAGTGGGGTTGAGGTCAGGGCTCTGTGCAGGCCACTGGAAGTCCTTCACACTACATTCATCAAACCATGTCTTTAAGGAGCTCACTTTGTGCACAGGGGCACAACAAGACTGCAGTCCGGAGTGATTGACATACCTATTTCTCTGCTACAGTGCAGCTACTGTAAATCTGTATTGCATACACTTGCAGTGATACTGATGAAAATAAGGCAACATACAAACCCTTAAAAGAAAACTGTAGAGCATCTTTTAAGGTGTGTGTATAAAAATCACTTGTGTGACTGAATGTTAGCTCTATATTTTCTACAAACTATAACAGTGTTTGTTTGTGTTTGTTTTCGTCTTTAGAGTGGAACATGGAGGAAAGATAAGAATCAAACCTGGACTAAAGAAATGTAAATTAACACACAAACACAGACAGTTTGTACATTTTCAGTATACAATGTCCTGTGTGTTGTTGTTTTCATCTCTAAACTCTCTTCTTGTATGCAGATTCCTGTGAGTTCACTCTGGACCCAAACACACCACTCTCACATCTCTCTCTGTCTGATGGGAACAGAAAGGTGACAAATATGGGATACCCACAGCCGTATCCCGATCATCCAGAAAGATTTGATTGCTATGGGCAGGTGTTGTGTAGAGAGAGTGTGACTGGACGCTGTTACTGGGAGGCTGAGAGGATCACAGGAGAGGTTGAAATAGCTCTGACATATAAATCCATCAGCAGGAAAGGAGGCAGTTTTGACACTAGGTTTGGACGGAATGAAAAGTCCTGGAGGCTGTTCTGCTCTAACAGATATGATGTCCTTCACAATAGTAACCGAACTGATGTCAGTGTTTCTCCCTCCAACTGTAAGAGAGTAGGAGTGTATGTGGACTGTCCGGCCGGCACTCTGTCCTTCTACAGAGTCTCCTCTGATACACACACACTGACACATCTATACACATTCAACACCACATTCACTGAACCGCTATGTGCAGGATTTACACTTTATGATGATGCTTCACTGTGTGTGTGTGAGATAGAATAACCGTGTGTGTGTGAGCGTCTGTAAATGTGAGAGATAGATGGATCTCCCTTGTGTTTGTGTGTTAGTTTATAGAAGTTGGTTTATATGTACTGGTTTGTTAATATTGGTTTGAACATAGATTATATGTATATTATTGATTTGTATATTTCAGTTTCTGGACATATTTAAGGCAGTTATTCCATGAATTGGATTTTCAAACGTCTAGTTTCGCCACAGTAGTTAGTGTTTAGTTATGCTACACAAATAAACAAATCTTTTCTTCCATCTATCCATGCAATGTTTCCTGTGCTACCAGCTGCCACACAACCTCAAAACATAATTGATCCACCCTCCATGCTTGGCGAGATGTTCTTTTCATCAAATGCTCCTCCCTTTTCTCTTCAAACATGCTTTTGGTGATTGTGGCCAAAGAGTTTCAGTTTTACTTCATCAGTCCACAGAATTTGTTTCCAAAATGCCTCTAGCTTAGCTGGATGTTGTTTTGCAGACTTCAAATGTTGATTTTGTGACACAGAAGTTCACAGGTGAGGTTTCCTTTTGATGATCCATGCAGGTCATGTTTGTGCAAGCAATGCTGCACAATAGGACAGTGCACTACCACTCCTGTTCTTTTTATAGGTCTCTCTATTTTAACTGTTCCAAAATCTAAGCCAATGTACACAAACCAATACATATAAACCAGTTTATATATAAACCAACTTGTGTATGTGTGTGTGTGTGTGTGTGAATATATATATATATATATATATATATATATATATATATATATATATATATAGTCCCAACATCAGTGATATGCCAAATAACTGTAGGTACCATACCAGCCAGTATGTGTCAGTACCATCGGAAATCCTCAAAACAAGCTCCCCCATTAAAGAAGTAAAAGGGCCGTGTCCAGTTCCACCTGTCCCCAGATGTTAAAAGACCTCTCACAACTATTTTTCTTCCTTTCTGGTCCCTCTCTTCACCAAGAGTAGACCTTTAAGAATCTCTTCTCCGTTTGACCTTTCTCCATTGTCTGCACCACATGGGTAGTGAGAAAGAACAAAGAAACAACCAGTAGGTCTATCTTGAATTAGATCAACTATTTCAAGTTAATTTACGCAACTATAACCTGAGCAGCTGATCACCATTTAAGAATACTCTGTCTTGCAAATGGCAGTCAGTGGCCTCATAAACTAAAGTGATGATGTCCTCTATTTCAAACTCTGGACATGACTCTTCTCCTAGATAAACACCTAAAGGATCAGCCGCTGCCACCTTTGTTGTAGCATAAACTACAATAAAGGATCAGTTGACCTTATTAACATATAGTTAAGCTCATTCGCGAAACACCCGCAAACACTACATCACTAAAATTGCACCATTTTCTTAATCACAAGCAAATACCTGCTCTCTTTCTCATTCTCACACAAGCACTAGCTAAATAGCCATTTAGCTCATATGTACTGTAAATATACTGACTGTTGTTGATTAGGATAGTTTAAAATCACAATGTTTGTCACTTTGTACACGACTGCCTCAGAGCTGTGTACTTTTTTGTGGCTTTTCTCTGTACACTAATAAGATAAGAAAAACTTTATTGTCCATTAAATTTGCATGAAAGGGAAATTTGTTTTTGGCAATCTGGCACATAAATACATAGACACATAAAACACTTACAAACACTTACAGCAAAAGTGCACATGAACTATGTAGGGGGTTATTTATTATGTTCTTATTCAGAATGCTCACAGCAGTGGGCACAAATGATTTTTTGTACTCATTCTTTCTGGCTAGTGGGACCTAATGATTTGGTATCTCACAGTGAATTGGTTGAAATTTTGAAATATGCACCATAAAAGGCCTTATCACAGATAATGAAACTAATAATGAGAATAATAGTTATCAGCAGGAGGTGAATCAATCTGTAACGTGATGTACTAATCTCCAGCTTATTACATCAAAAACACTGGAGATCATTGTGGATTATAGGAGAAACAGAGTGTAAAAACTCCAGTGCAGGTTTTGGGACAGTTGATTTCTGCTGTAAAATCTTAAAGATTTTTGGCAACTCACATTAGCAATTCTTTGCAGTGGAGGATTATTTCTGATCATATCAACAAATCTCAGCAAAAGTTGTTCTTTTCGAGACAATTTAAAAAATACAAGGTAAAAAGTTGGTTAAATGGTGGTTAAATTTTATTTGTCCATTATTGAGAGTGTTCTTACATCATATTTTACAGTTTGGTATGGAAATATAAACCTTTAAACTGAAAATAAATTTTCTTAGTAATCTCTCTCTCTCTGTCTCTCTCTCTCTCACTAGTTAAATAGCCATTTAGCTCATATTCACTGCAAATATACTGACAACTGTTGAGTCTCAGAGTAGATTGTGTATTATTAACCGCTTCATTTATTTTCACCAAGTTGTCTGCCTTGGTATCATTCAAATACTGTTTGCTACCAATATCTATTTAAATGAAATCACATTTTATTTCTTAAAACCTTCAGAAATCAAATCATCAATATTACTAATATTACTATCAACTATTCTATAGTTATACATTAGAGATTGAGCTTTATGATGTGATTTTGTAAGTGACCATAAAGAATTACAGATGAAAAAATAACAGTGAGAATGAATGATTATATTTATGAGGAACAATACATTAATATTATATAGCAAAACCCCTACAATATATATATATATATATATATATATATATATATATATATATATATATATATATATATTGTATTTATATACACCAAGAAATCAATGTTTAGGGACTAATTCATTCACCATTTCACAATTGTGTATGCCAATTTATCGTAAACCAAAAGGTAATGAATCATTATTTGTTCAATATATGTACCATTAAAGCAGTTATTTTCTCCGTAAAGCAATATATATGCAGAAAGTAGAAAATAATTACTTCTTGAATGGCACCTCATACTTTGGGGAAATACACAACTAGAGCTCATGAACATCCCAAGACATGGAAACACACATTTTTAACAAAACAAACTTCAGAAAACTGGATTCTCTCTTTTAAATCCATAATATACCTTAAAGGGCCCATATCCTTAATTTTTCTTGTATTTTAATGTAATGTACCAAAAACACAATTAATTTTTACATGACACTTTTCCAACTTCTCTTTATCCTTTAGAATTAAACAGGTTGTTTTTGTTACTGGGCCTTTAAGACTGAGGTAAACAAGCTCTGTTCTGCCTCATTTAAAAAGCAGTCCAAGCTGAAGCACTCTTTATATTTTCAGTGTGAGTGGGCGGGGTTACACTGCTGTAGGCCGAATTTGTGTGTATATGTAAATGTATTGATTTTCTTGACATCACAGAAACAATGAATCCAGCACTGGCTGTTTGTGAAACTTGGTTTCATTATACCGACTGTATAGACTGAGGAGTAAATGATTTGTTGTGAAATTTTCAAAGTTTATATATAATATCAAAAACATTTAATTAAAAAAAGTGAGGAAAATAAAATCTTTCCCAATAGGGGCCTTTAAACTGTAACAGAGAGAGTGCAATATAAAAGGATCAGGTGTGTGTGTGTGTGTATGTTTTCTCTATGTTGATCATAAATAGTGATGTTCAGTTAAACACGCTGAATCGAATCATCGCCTCTTTTCTGCTTTTCTTTCTTTGGATCCTCTATACAATTGAAGGTGGAAATAGAGCTTTTTTGTTTTTTTTTGTGGAATCTGTGGTAGATATTTAGAAGTGCCTTTTGTTTGAATGTTCTGTATTTTACTCTGTATTTCTCTGGTTTGGAGATGATGCAGATGGAGATGATTTACACAGCTCTACAGTAAAGAACTGATAAAATTTGCAAAATTATGTACACTTAATGAAATAAAATGCTGATAAAATGATTGATTTCTTTTAGAGTTTAAAGTAAAACAAAAACAACATAGTATAAATTCACTTTTTTATGTGGGAGTAATCATTAATATACCATGAATCATCATGAAAATGAATATTCATGTCTTAATGTTAATTTATGTGGTAATAAGGTATCATCCTCAGTTTAAATCAGTTATATATGATGTTCATACAGGTGTCCATAGTACCTAAATGGTGGAAAAGCTGAGTCACCACTTCAGAACAGGAGTGTTGTTAAATTAAGCTTCTGGTAGTTGGAATAAAAGGTCAAATTCAGTATATTTACAGCTATAACTTTACATAGTATGACATTTAGTGTACAACAGCAACATGAGGGTGAAACTGTGATGGAATCCCAGGTTTTTGTCACAATCTTGTCAAATGTAATGTGTGTGTAATGTAACCACAAACTTGGCAGCGTTACAAAATTATCAGGTCTTGAAAAAGTTTCTTTTGTCTTCTGACTTCTTGTTATATTAAACAGGGCTGTGTATAAACATTTTTCTGGGCAGGTGCTCAAGCAAATAAAAGTGAACCCCTCTCATAATTATTTATAAAAAAAATAAAATTACATACAGAAGCACATCTTTTACTTGCTTACATATTTATTTATGTAGATGTTTAATAACCATCAGATTTCTACAAAATTATCTATTCACACACAGAAGAGTCTTCAGTATTCACTATTTCTACATTTATCTCTAGAAAAGGCACAAACAAGCAGTGCCACATTGCGCATGCTTTAGTTCTCTATAAAATGAATACGGATCTGTAGGATATTGCATCGCAGCTGTGTCTGCAATTACCTCCTCTCCTTCATTCACTCTCCTTCAACAGCTGGTTCTTGCTCATACCGTTCTTGTGCTATAGAAGATCCTGCCTGCATCTCACCCTCATCTTGATCAACATGCTAAAGAGCATTGTTTCTGTAGCTGAACATGAACATGACTCTGCTCTGAACTCTGACCTTTCTTCCTTATCTGTGATGGGTTCTGTATCAGGTGGCAACACATCTCCATACTCCTCCATCTTGAGGCCAGATAGCCTGATTCAGGATAGAAGAGAGCTTGGAATTAGTGAATGAGCAAAATCAATGCAGTCCATGAAAATTAGGAGTTAATCTCCCAAAAAGGCATAACAATGCTTATTTGGTTAAGACTGCTTGGTTACAGAGTCATTGCATTACAACAGTAAGCCCCATTAGACTGTATTTTTCAGTGGCCCAACGTAAGTACCACACTTTTCTGCAGACATTTTGAATGGGTTATTTGTCATTTGTCAGTGTTTTCATAATATTTAAAGAGGACCATTTTTTGATTTAGACAGAATGTGAATAGAGATGAATAGTATGAGAAAAATGTGTTTTTGGAACATTGAAGCATGTAAATCTATTCTATTAGACACCAAAAATAAAATTATGATCACTGAAAATGAGCATAATATGTTCTCTTTAATGTAATCACATGATAAAGATTACAAGTGTTGTAATGTAGAACTACAGGTAAGATAGGTTCAACTGTAATGCTGACAAAATAATAATATTTAGCTAAAGAAGCTTTGTGTTTTATTTAGAATCACAATCTCATTCTATTCTATATAGCACCAAAAAGGGTTCTGCTACTGTTACGATGTCAACCTTGTAACAACAGAAGAACACTTTTTGGTGCTATATAGGTTTTTTCAGGAATGTTCTATACAGAACCATATACAATGCATTCTTCATCAATCTGAAGGACCATGATGCACAGAACCATTTAATCATGTAAAGCGTTCTTTGAGTGTTCAATGTTCTATACAGAACCATTTTCTTTCCTAAAGAATCTTTGAATAACCATCTTTTATAAGTGTGTATGGTTGCTTTGCATTCTTCTCATAACAAACCTGCATTTAAATTGATTAATTGATTAATGATAATATTCTTGTACACTTTTTTCTTTTTCTTCTGCTTTTTTAAGTTTATGCTGCTCCTCAATATCTGAATATGCCTTGATGCAAATAAAAGTTGGTACAGTGAAAGATTTCAACTGGTCCATCAGCGAGCTGCCCATATGAACTTTTACCCAATCGCAGCGCAGGAGGCGGAGTTAGGCAGAATATGGGTGGTTAATAAATAATAATAATAATAATAATAATAATAATAATAATAATAAAGTGTAAATATTTTACATTTTTGCTTTTATTTATTTATAATAATTTATATTGTTAATTTTGTGAAGGATAGAGTTTATATTTTCTATCTTATTTTGTACTTTTAGGATTATTTATATTGTTTGTAAAGTAACAAGTAACAAACTGTAAAAACCTTGTTAAGTAATTAACAAGGTTATTATCAACAAGGTTTTGCTTGGTTATTCACTTTTTATTACTTCTTTTCTTTTCTTGAGTGCCTTGCTCTCCCTTTGCTGCTGTAGCACTGAGAATTTCCCCGTTGTGGGATTAATAAAGGATTATCTTATCTTATCTTATCTTATCTTATATTAAAACCACGCCCCCAGATCGGCCAGAATGACGTTCACATTGTGCAGCTTCCCTGCAGTCCAGCAGGGGGCGCTGATTCTCTAAGTGTGGTTCTCCAACTCCAGTTTAGTGGAGAAGCAGAAGATCCCGCTTTGACCTGCAGTCCAGCCGTCCGCGCTCCCACAGTGTTGTTAGAGAAACCTAAACAGGAGCTGAACTGCTGAAGGTAAGACGCCGTTTACGTGTTTCTCACGTTCTCCTGATATAACCCCCCTGCACACGTGTTTGGATGGTGGTCAGCACTAATAGAGTGTATTGTGTGTGAGAGCCGTTCAGGAGTCTGATGGCCTCGTTCAGCTGTTTCCAGTCCGAGTCCTGGGGGTGTTTCACAAAGCAGAGTGTCTCAGTTTAGCCAGTTAACTTAAGCCCAAAGTCAAGGAAACGAGCTGAGGGACATTCCTATGGTACAGTCTTTATCTTTGGGCGCAAGTTATCTGGCTAACTGTGAAATCCTGCTTTGTGAAAAATGCCCCCCCCCACCAGTCCTGAGGACCACATGCTCTGCCCATCTTTGTTTTCCTTACTTTAGCGCACATGATCCAGCACAAGAGGAGCGTGTTAATTAGAGTTGAATCAGATGCTGGATAAGGGGATAAGGGAAAGTATGACTCTGCTGAAGAAGACCATTAGACCCATTAGGAATAAAACCTGATGGATTACTAATGGGATTTGGTTTACCATTAGTTTCTTGTGGGACAGTGTTTCCTAACCCTGGTCCGGGGGCCCACTGCCCTGCACATTTTAGTGCTTTTTACTGCTTTAACGCAGTCACTTCAGCTCAATAATGGGCTACTAATGAGCTGATGAGTTGAATTAGTTGTGTTGGGAGCAGAGAAAACAGTAAAAAGTGCAGGACAGTGGGCCTCCAGGACCAGGGTTGGGAAACACTGCCATGGGACGCCTTTAGATCCCATTAGGAAACAATCAGATGCATCTAGAATCAGTCCCAGAACAGCTGTCAAACCATTAGAGTCATTTACACAGTGATATCAACCCATCAGGGCAACACCTAACATCATTAGTGACTATTGGACACCACCAGGAACCAGTAGAAACTTTAAATGGTTTCTGTGATGTTTTTTTCATGCTGAAAAATAAAAACTGTGCCGTGTACAGTATGTGGTGGGGGTGTGTAACGGTACGTGTCGTGTATTCGTCACGGTTCGGTTGACGCAGTCGTTCGGAGAATACGCGGTACGAACGTAATGCGGAACCAAAGTTCACACGCGCGAGTTCCACCCGGAAACCTTCAGCTGTATGCCGTTAGCAAGTTAGCAGCATGCTATACCAAGCTTAACTCAAACTCACTGGCGTCTGACTGAGTCAGTCACACTGTGGAGAGTGCAGATGACTCACAGGAGCTTCTCTCGAACCAGCTGTGGGAAAATATCGGGTTCCCAGTGAATTATGAGAGCGATGGAGAGAGACATGTTAAACGGAAGAATGCTAGCTGGCTGTATCTGCTGTCCCTCCTCACTAGCAGGGGTGTTTCCCTCTGTCCTTTCTCTAGGAGGGCTTGGCTTACATATAGTTTAGGTCAGGGGTCTTTAATTAAAATTCAGTAAGGTCCAGTTAGAGATATTTCCTCAAGCAAAGGTCCAGAACATCATAATGTCTAACTTGCATCATGATTTGGTGCTATATACTGTTTACTGAAGTAGCCTAGTAGGTATATCAACATCTTATACAGTCGACAACTGAATATCAAATCAAATAAAGTACAATTCAGTACAATTTCAACAACATTTATTGTCAGTTTTCTCGTTTTAGAGGACGACACATGAAATAACTTCCCTCTGGCTCACTTTCTTCTCTGACTGCTGTGTCTCGCCTCATCCCTCCCCTGTGTGTGCATCAGTGCGCATCGTAATGCACAGATCTGATTGGCTGAGTAGAGTCACGTGTGATATTTACAACGCATGTGATTGGTCAGGCTGTTAAAGCTACGGTAAAGGCTAGAAAAGTTATGCCAATTAAAATAGGACCACCCCATCGAAATTAAACAATTCTCCATAGTTTATTGGTTATAGGTCCAGGTCCGCATAGGACAGCGTCTGGGTCCTGACTCGAACCGTGGTCCGCCTATTAGTGACCTCTGGCTGAGGTGGAACAAACTCTAACAACTCCTCCTAATACTAATAAATATGACCCATGTGAGAATATTTAACTGTTTATATTTTACTGCTCAATACACTACAGGCTGTACCAACTTAAGTTACCTCAGGGAGGACTGTACAACACTAGGTGAACTAATTAACTTTCACTGCTGTCTATTCAAAATAAATGAAAGAAACCTAGTCTTATGGATTTGGGGTTTTTTTGTTGCCATTTTCTAGGGGTGTAACGATTCTCCAAATTATTATTAAACAATCAGTAATTAAGATTACTGATTGTTTTGCTATATATATCACACTATAGTGTATTGATGTATATTTGTTTTTCAAGTAAAACCATTTTGATTGCTTTAGTAAGCCTGTTTTGTAGATTAATGAGGGCGTATTATTCTGGATGTTCCAGAACAGTTTGGCTGTGTGCATGGATACCTGGCTAGTCTCCATGCCAGGCTAATGGCTAACAGCTAACCCCAAAAGACTGTCTTTTCCTTCCGCTCTCTTTTTAACCTTTAACTCAGTAACTCATTACTGTCTGATGTTGCTCCATTGACGGTAATTTGTATTAATTTACCTCAGGCTGCAGCTCACTCCCCGAGAGGTGAGGCAGACAGTGTGTTCTGCCCTGTTTCAGTTTCGCATTATCTGCAGTTATGTGCATACCAGTATTAACGTTAATAACAGAACTAATACCTTAATAAGAATTTCAACTCGTATGTCGCCCACTACGAGTCAGAAGGTTAATTGTGAATTAAAAAATGAGTTTTGCTACATTAGTGAAGTAATGAGGGCTCAACAGGCTGCACCTGCTGTGGGTTTGTGGGTAAAGGGGTGGTGTAATACGTTGTAACGAGACATGAGACCACAGATGTTTGTATCATGGCTTCAGAATTGTTACACCTCTACTTTTTTCTTGTTGTACCAAATTTATACCAGACTGTGATGTCCTGACCAAGGTGTGAACCAAACATTGGTATCTGTGTACTGTTACCATTCTATAAAACAGTTATCTGTGCCTTGTCGTCTGCCATGTTTGTTTTGCCATGTTTGAGTCAAGTTTGGCTTAATTTCTTGAAAGTTTGTACCAAATCTTAGACGGTCTGGGAGGCTTTTACTGCTGTCACATGTCTTATTAAAGTAACTGAGCTTCACATTTATATCTGTTAATTTTGTCTGATTATTTAGATGATTTGTTTTTATTTTGCCTAAAGCTAAATGAATACAGAATTTTCTTGTTACAGTTACTATCAATTCTGTCATATTTCTAAGTTTTGAATTTCTTTATTCTCTTCTAGGGTACTGCTCCCAGTGTTCCCATTCTTCCACTTTGTTTGGAGTAAACACATTTTGAAGAGGAACTTTCCATCAAGAGAAACTTTAGACTGCTAAAAACAGGAATTGAACATGGCATCTGAAAAAGACTCCAATACTCAGCAAACATCCACTGGTGTTCTCCACACTAACACATCTTGCAGACGAATGCAGAAAAATAAGAGAAAGGAGAGAAGTCACCACTGCTCGGTGTGTGGAAAGAGTTTTACTCGGCAGAGTAATCTCCAACAGCACCAGCTTATTCACACAGGAGAGAAGCCGTATCACTGCTCTGATTGTGGGAAGAAATTTACTCGACAGAGTAACCTCCAGCAACACCAGCTCATTCATGCGAGAGAGAAGCCGTATCAGTGCTCTGATTGCGGGAGGAATTTTAATGTCATGGATAATCTTAAAAAACACCAGCGCATTCACTCTGGAGAGAAGTCGTATCAATGCTCAGAGTGTGGAAAGAGTTTTATTTATCGGAGTATTTTCAAAATGCACCAGCGCATTCACCGAGGCGAGAAATCATATCACTGCTCAGAGTGTGGAAAGAGTTTTACTTACGAGAGTATTTTCAAAATACACCAGCGCATTCACACAGGAGAGAAATCGTATCACTGCTCAGAGTGTGGAAAGGTTTTTATTTATCAGAGTATGTTCAAAATGCACCAGCGTGTTCACAGAGGAGAGAAAAAGTATCACTGCTCAGACTGTGGAAAGTGTTTTACTTATGAGAGCATTTTCAAAATACACCAGCGCTTTCATACAGAAGAGAAGCCGTATCAGTGCTCAGAGTGTGGAAGGAGTTTTACTTCATGGAGTAATCTTCAAGAACACCAGCGCATTCACGCACGAGAGAAACCGTATCGCTGCTCAGACTGCGGGAAGAGTTTTACTCAACAGAAACTTTTCCAAATACACCAGCGTGTTCACACAGGAGAGAAACCGTTTCGCTGCTCAGAGTGTGGTAAGTGTTTTATTTCACGGAGTAACCTGAAAGAACACCAGCGCATTCATACAGGAGAAAAACCCCATTGCTGCTCAGACTGTGGGAAGACTTTTACTCAACAGAAGCTTCTCCAAATACACCAGCGTGTTCACACGGGAGAGAAACCGTATTGCTGCTCAGAGTGCGGAAAGAAATTTAATCATCACAGTAATCTCCTACAACACCAGCGTGTTCACACCGGAGACAAACCATATCCCTGCTCGGAATGTGGGAGGAGTTTTAGTCGACATAGTAATCTCCAAAGACACCAGCGCATTCACACTGGAGAGAAACCGTATCACTGCTCAGAGTGTGGAAAGAGTTTTAATCAGCTGGGTATTCTCCAACAACACCAGCGTGTCCACACAGGAGAGAAGCCATATCAGTGCTCGGACTGTGGAAAGAGTTTTAATCAGCAGAGCAGTCTTCAGTCGCACCAGTACGCTCACACAGGAGAGACACCGTTTCACTGTTCAGAGTGTGGGAAAAGTTTTTCAAGCAGAAATAGTCTAATGACACACAAGCGCATTCACACAGGAGCGATGCCGTATCACTGCACAGAGTGTAAACGGAGCTTCAGACATTCAAATTCCTTAAAGAGACACAAATGCCCTTAGAGGAAGCTAGAAACTCATGATGTTAGTTTAGCAACAAAAACTTGAGATTTTTATTATGTTTATCTTAAGATACACACATGTTGTAACCTGCAATTTAAATCTTTTCTACTGAAGGCAATAGACGCCTGGCAAAATTCTTCCAAAACCTTTGTCTCAGAGTTTGATGGAAGGTGTGTTTTTAAAGGAGCTAAAGTAAACTCTGAAGCCAGGATTATGAGTCAGTGAGTGTGGTACTTTTTTATTTTAATACAGAGGTTTTTCAGTTTGAGAAATGAAATAGAAACACAGTGTGTTCGAAAAGCTCCCCAATAACATTTTTTAATCTCTCTCATTCTAATAATTATGACAAATTTATTGGCACTGTTCTCACTGCACATTTGTTATGAGGAGTTTTGTTGCCTTTTTCAGTTTGACTGAGGATTATTTTCCTTTTCTAAATCACCCTATTATTTAATCACGTTATCTCTGTAAGACATGTTTAAACTTACATTCACAGTAAATCAGTGTATGGGCTAATATGGTATAATGGTTCCACATGATGTGTTTTCACTTATGCCTAAATGTGAAGTGAAATAGCAGTAAAAAAATGTTGGACTCATTTGTTAAGTCTGTTTTATTGATGTAGCCTGCTTCACAAAAGTGAAAGTTTTTCACCTTTCACTGCACAATATTCTCAACATTCATGTTTATATTTGAATAAAACATTAAAATTGTGGCAACAATTGTCCTGATCTGTAAGTATATTGGTATATCAAATATTGTAAATATTATAAACAGTTGGTATATTAAATATCAGTTACATCAATTATTAAATAAGGAATGACAAACATTTAAAAGAATCGTATGAGCACTGCCCCATGTTTTCTAATTTGCTTTAGTCTGATATTTGTACTGAGTCATGAAAAAAAATTTATACAGCTGGTTGAAAATCTCAAGACTTAGAAATGTGTATTTATAAGTTCAGTAGTGTATAAGCATGAAAGTATAACAAAGTATTTAAATAATACTTCCTAATCTGAAAATATATTAAAAATACAACATACAGGGCAATATATAAGAATTCTTTGGTAACGAAACTGAATCTATATTAGTTTATTAAAACAGCCCTTCCAGGAAGAAACATTTAGGATGCTTAAATTACACTCTTAAAAGAAGGTTATTCAAGCGTTCTTTAGTAAAGAAAATGGTTCTGTATAGAACAATGAACACTCAAAGAACCCTTTGCATGACTAAAGGGTTCTTTACATTGTGAAATGATTCTTTGGACTGATGCAGAATGTGCTGTAGATGATTCTATATAGAAATTTTTTCAAAAGGGCTCCATATAGCACCAAAAATGTTCTATTTTTAGTGTCAAGCTTGTAACAGTAGAAAAAAAAAGTTCTATATAGAACTGTCTATAGAAAATTCATGCACATTTTCCATTGATCCAAAGAACCTTTTCATGATGCAAAGAAGCATGTGAGTATCTATAGTTCTATATAGAACCATTTGGCAATTGTAAACACATCACTGAATTAGCATTTTCAAATTTGCACTTGAATTTGAATAAAGTCTAGAATATGCTGCCATAAATAAGTCCAAATGACGAAATAAATGAAACAAAACCAGACATGTTATATGTTCTCAGGCTCCTCAGCTTTTATATTGTCATTGATTTTGTTGCTGCCATTCAAATGGGATGGTTTACTCTTAAATTTGTGTAGGAATACTTATGTTTCTGCATTACGCCACAGTTTGACCTAAAGAAAAAAGAAATTAAATTAATTTTACACAAAAAGCATGAACTAGTGCAACATAGACGCAATAGAATTTTGCACAATATATGCACACAAAATTTAGACATCTTCTTTCATTACAGTGTATACAATAGGTAATAACAGACTGTCTCAGTCTGTTATTTTGGTTTTCTATTTTACATTAGGTAGTTTCTTGTGTAGATGAACCAGTCCATTTGAGTCATTGCAAAATGAATGACACAGCCAAATATTGTCTAGTTTGTTTTGCTTATGCCCCTTTTCACTTTATGATCATTGATTTAAGGTAAATATTCAGTGGTTTTTCTCTTATACTTTAAAAGCTCAAATGTACAGAGAACTGAAGCTGCTACCATCTGTTGTTTTTCTTGATTGTTTTTCACAAAATACACCAATATAAGCTTGTGTATAGACTGACACTTTCATGCTTACTGCTTTCTTTACATTTGGGGACTTTGCTATGCTATGAGTAACTGCTGATTGGCAAAAATGAACTTCACATGATGAAGAGTGTTGCCAGGATGCTGCCTAGGCCAGAGAGAGGGAACTTTTCACTAAGCTACAGCATCAGTACACAAAAGCCCAAAGCTACAAGACAAGCTGAATGACCCCTCCTCAGAATGGCCTAGACATGTCACATGTGGTATATGGTCATGTACAGTATAAAACGTATCAGGATCCAGTCTTCACGGGCCAAAACGCTGCAGACCTTAGCACACTGCCTCATTAAACACACCTGATTCAGCTCATCAGCTAATCAGATTAAAAGGCCTTCATGAACTGAAGTCAGAGTGTTAGATGAGGATAAACACTGATCTCTGCAGCACTTTGGCCTGGAAGGTTTGACATGCCTCGTATAGAAGATTTAAGCTCCATGAACTTTTCTGCATTATTTTTCTGGGAAAACACTGAGTGATACATTCCGTGCAGTTAAATCAATGTGGAAGTTGTTAGTTTTGAAAGTTGTTACTTTCAGAGCACATAAACTATACATGTTGGCTGAACTCAGTTAAAAACTTTATCTAAAAACGAATTTCTGTGATACAGTATAGCCAAAAAAACAAAAAAGACACAAATTAAATTTTAAAAGAAAAAAAAAAAAGATTTACAGTTTAATAGGAACAACCACCAACTGGTCACCAACTGTCCTCATGAAGACGTACTATACTCCTGTACTGTAAGTTCTAACCTGCATCTAATATGATGCATCCTCCTTTCCTTAAACACTAATGTATCTGATCCAGCCAACCAAGTGGCCAAGTGGTTGGGACTAGACTTTACAGGAAGGTAGATCTGCAGGACCCTCTGTTACCCTTACACTTTTTCTCAATTTTTAAAATGCATTTGGTGGATTTTTAGCTAGAAACCATAGAAACAAAATGTCACCCTTGTATGACCAGTTTTCTCCAGAATCAGGGAGTCCAGCTAAAATGGGACAAAATGGCACCACTAAGCTAGAATGACAAAACCTTCTCATGTTCATTCAGTTATGCTTGTAAAAGTTAAAAGTTGTCAAATTTACAACCAGCTCTTAAGTACCAAGCAGGCTGGCCAAGTATGTACCAAAACTTACCTACTTTTTAGGTTCTGCTAGCTAAAATGCTAACTTGCTAGTTATTACGGTCATTTTAAAATGACCTCAGTGACGGAAATTTTAATCAACATATTCATTACATGGACAACACTGAATATGGCAATGATGCCTTTAAGATTTAAGGAAAACAAGGTAAACTAACATATTTATACCTCCTGATTGTGATGTTCTAAATGTCTTTTTCACCATGTTTTACAAATGATATTTGAGTGCCGTCCAGAGTTTAACTCCCAGAATAAATCAAATCATATCACATTATGCCTTTCTGAACATATAATGGAAAAAGTGAGTATAATTAGTTCTGTCTTTGTATTTATAATTTTCCCAGTCACACATTACTATCAACACTGGGAGATCATTGGCTGTGACTGCACCCCAGAAACTAAAAAGACACCACAAATTTAATTTCAGAAGAACAGATTATAAAATTTCACAGGAAAAGTATTTTCAGGATTACAGGAACATAAAAAAGGAAATGTAATTAAAAGAACGGAGGAGTTTCCCAATGGGATCTAAAGAAGATCTACAGTGTCACCCCGTTGCAGTGTCCCGCTCCAGTCCAGGTGGTGGCGCTAAAGCCATTTCTGAGCGTCTCCAACTCGAATACAGCGGAGACGTAGAAGATCTCGAGTCTACAGTGTTGTCAGAGGAACAGGAGCCGAGCTAACTGAGCTAACAGAGCTAATCTAGCGGAGCTACTGAAGGTAGGGAGGTAATTAACCCGTGTCTGATCATTTTACACCTTATATTTCATCAACACTTGGATGAGATGTTGGCTTTTTGGAAAGTAGAGTGAAAATAGATATCAAATCACGGACCAGCCTGTGACCAGACTGACGTTCAGAGTGATGTTAGTAATGCTAACCGGTGTGTTCTTGGTAGTTATTCTGACTTGGCGAAGTTCATTTCATTAAGAATTAAGATATACATATATATGACAGTATAGGTTGTTTTCGTGATGAATTATGCTACAATACAGTTACAGTATGTTTTTCAGAACATATCCTCTGTATCGTCAGTGCCTGTAGACACTGACCAGCTGTGTGTTTCATCATAAAGAGAGCAAAATTAGTCCTGTTTAACTGGACTTAGAGCAACACAGTATGACAAATACTGAATATAAATCATTGTATTCACAGTTTTAAAAAGTATTTTTTAAAAATGTTGCACTACTGGTTCTTTTTTCTCTGTTCCAACTGAGCAAATGTCAGAAAAAATAAATATTGTGAAAGGTAAAAGAATGACAGCATATATATTCATATTGCCCAACTCTTATTACATATGTGTGTGTATACATACACACACACACACACACACATATATATATATATATATATATATATATATATATATATATATATATGTAAGTAAAATAATCCAGCCTTTCATTTTGCTTTAAAATCATAATCCAGTGATTTTAAAGCAAAATGAAAACAACATGCAGAGAGAAGTGTTATAGGTGTTGTCGTAAACAGTGTGAAAATACAGAGTACTAATAGCTTCATGTGATATGATGATGATAATAATTTTGCATCTCATCTGTACACTCATGACACGTTTTTGTCTTTGTTCCTAGTGTCCACTTTCTTATTTCAAATTTTTAACTGCACAACAACCATCAGAAGGTGATGCCAAGAAAAGCAATCAAAATGGCTGAAATCAGGAGAAATTACGTACGAGAATATGGCGTCTAGAACACACTCCAGCAGTCAACAAGAATTGGCTGTTACATCTCAAATGGAGAAACATACAGGCAAGGAGAGAACTCACCACTGCTCAGACTGTGGAAAGAGTTTTCATCGGCAGAGCACTCTGAAGAGACACCGGCGCATTCACACCGGCGAGAAACCGTATCAGTGCTCAGAGTGTGGGAAGACTTTTACTCAGAAGAGTAATCTGGGACAACACCAGCACATTCACACAGGAGACAAACCATATCGCTGCCCAGACTGCGGGAAGAGTTTTAATAGGCATAGTCTTCTCCAGCTACATCAGCGTTTTCATACAGGAGAGAAACTGTATTACTGCTCAGAGTGCGGAAAGAGTTTTAATCAACATATTAATCTCCAAAAACACCAGCGCATCCACACCGGAGAGAAGCCGTATCACTGCTCAGAGTGTTGGAAGAGTTTTACTAATCAGAGTCACCTCCGAGATCACCAGCGCATCCACACGGGAGAGCAGCCATATCACTGCTCAGAGTGTGGGAGGAGTTTTAACCGACAGAGTAGCCTCCAAAGACACCAGCGTGTTCACAGAGGAGAGAAACAGGATCACTGCTCCGAGTATGAGAAGAATTTTTCCTTGCAGACTATGTTTCAACAAGACGAGCATGTTCACACAGAAGATGAGCCGTATTAAAGCTTTGTATGTAGGCAGAGCTTCAGGCGTATGAGTATCTTCAAGACATATGGGTGCACATAAAGGAAGATGAGAGAACATTAGAGTTAACATAAATTGTATATACTTTGGTTTGTGATGTAAGTAATAGTTTCGAAAAAGTTCTGTGAATGTAATTGATCATTCAAGACATTTTTGGCCCCTGAAGTTTGCCAATTTAGTTTTGCACTGGAGCTTCAAGGCTGCCATCGTGGAAATTGCATGCCTTAATTCTAACACGCTAGTCTTCATTGAAAAACTCATGTATTAAAGCCCCTGGGTAAATGAACAAATACACCAGAAGACCAGGATACAGCAGAGAGGAAATACTCTTTTAAAATGGTCTTCACATTCTTAACAGCCCAACCACTGAAAGCCTCTTTAAGATTGGGCGTCACTACACGATTTGCTAAAATCGTGTGAGAGCTTCTTGTCTTCTTGTCGTGAGGGCGCAAAGGCGAAGAGAGAGAATAACACATAATGAGATTCGGGTACGAATAAGAACTCAAACTCTCAGATCTCCTCAGATCACAACACAAACAAAGCTAACCTTACTGGACCTGTTTATGCTTTTCTGCACAGTGAAAGCGCAAACTGGGGCTTAATATTGGGTTGAGAAGCACTGATATTACAGTGAGAGCTGGAGAAATATTTCACTACAGTCTGGCAACTGAGCTGAAACTGTGAGCTGAGAGTGACCAACATTATAAACATGATGTCTCTTGTCTGCCTGTGTTTTACACTGAGCACCTCTGTCTTCTCTCTGCTGTTCATGTGCGTCTCTTCCCCTGTTCCTCTGCTCTTCCAGCTCTCTGATTGGCTGCTGTTTGAATCACTGGCTGAGTAAATCTCTGACCCTCTCTCACTGCAGGACTCGTGAATGTTTTGAGTCGTAAATATCAAAGATGTCTGATAATATTGGAGGGTCTCTGATCACTTCAAAGTTCAGTAGGAGGGATGAAGTTTCACTCGTTTCACCTCTCACACCACCAGATCATCCGTACCGTCGCTTCCTATCGGGTTGGCCCAGCCTAAAACAGTTCAAACTGGTGTTTATAACGGGTTTCATCTCTTCCTCGACATTATGGCGAAAGTGATTGAGAACTGGCTTATGCTCCTTTCTGTACCATCCTACCAGCCTTGGCGATGCTGCTCTGGTAGTGGAACTGGATTCTCCATCATTGGGAGTGAAAGGTGATTTTATTCAGACACCTTTGAAGCCTTGGGCCTGATTGAGAATGACTGTTACAGACATCATTAAGAAGTGCATGAGGGACAGATTAGGATATAATCTCTGTTAACTGGACTTAACCAATGAAATTGTGCTTATTTATGCTTGTGGACCAATGCAAATCTATTGCTGGCCTAAGTTGCAAATAATTTGAACAATGGTATACCTGCTCTGTCCAAGTCTGAGCTAGATAGGGAGAAATCCCCTTCTCGCTCATGTCTTTCTCTTAACTTCAATGGTTTGGACTTTTAGCATGCTGATTTATTTTTATTGGATTTTAAATGTTTTCTTTAGTTATGTTTTGATGTGTGAGGGTATGCATTAATTATCTGTATTTTAAAAATTATTCTTGTTTCCCGTAACAATTCCTGTGAATGTGAAAATTGCTTTTCTAGTAAATTTTACCTTTAAATTAATTCAAATGGCGTTAATGTTTTCTCTCTTTTCGCTTTTTGGTGTAAAACACAATTTTTTTTTACCTTATTGGTGCCTGACAGAAATGTTTGAGATTGTCTGATAAAGAAACTGAATTCCAAAGATGGGGAGAATTCTAGAGAATGCTTATTCCCCCAAAGCTGTATAGGTTGAAGGGAAGAATGGTAAGCAGACTGGCTGAGGATGACCAACAGGTAAGAGCAATTTTATAGACATGGCCGAATGTTTTGGTACCCTTCCACTTCCTTCAGAAAATGTAAGAAACACAGACTTTCTTTCTGTAGCACTGAATGAAAGTTCTTCTTTAGTTCTTGAGCAAAATGCTCCAGTTCTCTCAGGCTTGATGAGTGAACTTAGCTCTTACCACAAATATTCAGTGTTATTCAGTCATAGGACTCATAGCAGGGAACAACAGAATGGTTCTGTCTGTTCTTTTAATCATTATTGGCGCTTGAGGTGTGTTTTAGGTAATTATAGTGCTGGAGGACCAATAAACTGACTGAAGTGCAGCTTTCTGACAGTGGGCAGTATGTTTAGCCTTCTTACAATAATAATAAATATATCAGTATTTACGTAGCACCTGTCATAACAATGCATCACCAAGTGCTTTACAGCACAAATAAACATTAAAGAAAACAGTAAGTTAGTGTACACAAAACTGCAAAACACAGTAGAATAAAAAAATTATTTTAGTATAAACTAAGATTTCTGTTGAAAATGAAAGGTAAAGGAGTAGATAAAGCAGGACTGTTAAATTAGTAACCCCTTCACTTCTTCCCTACTTTCTATTGTCTACTGTTAATTGTTTTCACATGTGAACCAAACTCAATAAATAATTGATCTCAAAAAACAGGCTGTTTATATGAACTACAGCCAAGTCAGAGCCCATCAGAATACGGGTGGGATTAAAAATAATGGCCTTAGTGGGAAGCCCCCCCAGTCCAGGTGGTGGCGCTAGCTGCATATCTGTGCTTCTCCAACTCCAATAAAGCGGAGAAGTAGAAGATCCTGCTATGCTGAGCAGTCAGTCTGCTGAAGGTCCTGAAGGTGGAGAGAAAATGAACCCTGATCTTATTCTTTATGATCATTTTACACTACATGTTTCATTAACACTCTGAGGAGATGTTGGCTTTTTGAAAAGTAGGGAGGAAACACGAAGCAGCCCTTTGATCAGACTGAGCTGAGTGAGGTTAGTGATGTTAGGCATTGTGTTTGTTTTTAGTTGACAGTATTCTGATCTGGAAAAGTGCATCTTATTAACATGTATGTATATATTTCTGTATGTGTATCTACTCAGTTTGTGTAGTAAGTAATGTTCTTATCTGCACTCTTTAAAAAAAGAAAAAGATTGGTTCTTCAGTAAAGGGAATAGCTCCATTTAGAACCATGAGTTCTTTATTGTACCAATTCATGCTTAAATGGTTCTTTGCATGTTCTTCAGATTGATGTTGTATATGGTTCTCACATGGCACCAAAAAAGGTTCTGTTATTGTCATGATGGAAAGCTTGAAACAATAGAAGAAACTCCTTTGGTGTTATATGGAACCATTCATGTTCTATGGAGATCCGTGTACAAGACGTCTCCATCAATTTTTTTTTCTTTTTTTGTGATCAACGTTTTATTGTGTTTTATATAGCATTTTACACCAGGATGGGGACAGGTAGATGGTAGGGAAGGCAGCCCAGTGACATACATTATTAGGAATACACACATCAAAGATACTAGACAATAAATATTACAGAATTCAGACTGAAATTCTTGAACAGTCAGAGAAATTCTCCCAATTTCTAATTGTTGACTGCTTTACCTTGCTGGAGCTTAGCTGAAAGATATTCCAGTCGAACTATATTTTGAAAAGAAGATATTTATAATTTGATGGTGACAGATGTGCAGGTGTTAAAAGTGTGAAAATACAACATATTGTTTACATACTGAAATGCTCCCATGTGCATACAAATGTGTACTACATGCACTATAATAATAGTAATAATAAATTCTTTTTGTATGTGTTTCATTTTTAAAATATTTTTAAAATATGTTATAACATGTTTACAAACTACTGAATGGGATTCTCAGAAGATTATTTTGTTGTGTTTTGTCTGATAAAGAGTGATTAACAGAATTGCATGGTGATGAAAGCTAATACTGTACTTGGTATGCTGATTATTAGGGGTGTATTGATTCACAAAATTAAATTCGATACAATGGCCTTTATTCATCTGTACAGTCAAATCTGATCTGAAAATAAGTGCTTGCGAATTTTAACAACTGCTTTACATCAGTGTCATTTTTGGAGTGTCTGTCTCATTGTTTTTCCTGGAGCTGTGGATAGCTGTACAGCCCCCGTTGATCTAAAACACATAGAACGGCAGTGACTAACATGCTAGTTAATGCAGTCTCCTTCACTTGCATGAATTTCTGAGAACACAAAAGTCGCAGTCAGGTTTTCTTAATCAGTGGAAGTTGTAGAAAACTAAGATTGTTCAGCTTTGGAGAGAAAAGTGTGTGGAATGAAGTGTAGTATAAGACTGTAGACCATCACAGCTCGTGATGTTATTGGTGATAACACACTCCTCGAGTGTTCTATTGCTTTTATACAACAGTTAAATAAATAAAGTAATAAATTAATAAACTGGGTCGTGAACGCGGCGTTTAATATGTTTCAGTGTTCACAGCTCCTTCCGCCAAATTATAGTTCCTTAACAAGCAGCTTGTTGCTATGTCAGAGTAACAAGCTCCGCCCACTCGCTGCACAGCCAGCAGTTCATTCTCCAGCTCCACACAGACCAACTGACAGTTTGGGAATTTAGTGTAGCCTCATCTTCAGAGTCTGACCAAATCGGCTGTCGGTCAGATGTGATCTTAAAAATGTCCATTTTCTGTTTGTGGCAAAGTAAGAAGTAAAATCGTTCAAATGTCTTGAGCGTCTCCTACAGCTGTCAAAGTCATTGCTTAGCAACGGCGTCTCGGTGGAGTGATACAGAAAAAACTGTGATGTTATGGTGAAATAACAGCACAGTTAGAGCATTTCTTAACCAGTCAGCTTGCGTGGCCGGAACTAACTGTTGTATAACATGTAGTAAGTGCTGATGTTAGACTGACGATTTAACCTTTATTAATTAATTAAGTGAAAATCACGACAGAAGACTGCAGTCCTAGTCATCACACTCTAATGTAAATTGCCCATTGTTATTGTTACGTGCTATAATGTATCCTTCTGTGTTCTCCTGCCTTGCCTGCTGTAAGACACTGTGCCCTACCTTGGCACATGTTTAACCCACATTTTGTAGGGTGCCTTTTTTCAATATGCTGTCAGGGCAGGAGACCAGCAGAAGATGAGGGTTGTTAAAATCTTGTTTAAAAAATGCTTTTCACACAACTCTTTTAACACTGTTATATTTGAGCATAGCTTTGTTGCATTTACATTATTTATTATTGTTCGCTTTTGCTTTTATCCCTAGTTTCTATGTTCTTACATGGTTGAATTTTCCACGTTCCACGTTCATCTCCACAACACACATCAAAGATGCTGCCAAGAAGAGCAAGCCTGACAGCTGAAATCAAGGGAGGTTAAATACGAGAAGATGGCATCTAGAACAACCTCCAGTAGTCCACAAATAATCTCTGGTACATTTGACAGAGGAATGCAGAAAAACACTGGCAAGGAGAGAACTCACCACTGCTCAGACTGTGGGAAGAGCTTTACTAATCAAACTAATCTCAAAATACACCAGCGCATTCACACCGGAGAGAAACTGCATCACTGCTCGTACTGTGGAAGGAGTTTTAATCGACGGAGGACACTTCAGCAACATCAGCACATTCACACAGGAGATAAGCCATTTCGGTGCTCAGAGTGCGGAAAGAGCTTTACTCAACTGAATAATCTCAAAATACACCAGCGCACCCACACGGGAGAGAAGCCGTATCAGTGCTCGGACTGTGGAAAGAGTTTTAATCGGCAGAGTACTCTTCAGCAACATCAGCACATCCACACAGGAGAGAAGCCTTATCACTGCTCAGAGTGCGGGAAATGTTTTCATCGGCAGAGTCATCTTCAACAACACCGGCGCATCCACACAGGAGAGAAGCCGTTTCAGTGTTCGGAGTGCGGGAAGAGTTTCACTCAACAGAGTAATCTCCAACAGCACCGGCACATTCACACGGGAGAGAAGCCGTATGAGTGCTCAGAGTGTGGGAAGAGTTTTAATCGGCATAGTCTTCTCCAACTACATCAGCGTATTCACACAGGAGAGAATCTGTATTACTGCTCAGTCTGCGGAAAGAGTTTTAATCAACAGAGTAATCTCCAGCAACACCAGCGCATCCACACCGGAGAGAAGCCGTATCACTGCTCAGAGTGTTGGAAGAGTTTTACTAATCAGAGTCACCTCCAAGATCACCAGCGCATCCACACAGGAGAGAAGCCGTACGAGTGCTCAGAGTGTGGGAGGAGTTTTAATCGACAGAGTAGCCTCCAAAGACACCAGCGCGTTCATAGAGGAGAGACCCTGTATTAATGCTTTGTATGTAGGCAGAGCTGTAGGCACACCATTACCTTAAAGACACAGGTGTACTTATAGGGAGATGACATGAGATGAACTCTAAATTCTGTAACCTTGTTTTTATTTTAAATTACTCTTTTAAACAATAGTTCTGCAAAAAAAAAAAATCTAATTTTCTTTTTACGCTAAATGTAGTCGAACAGCTAAGACATTTTTGGTGCCTGAAGTTTGGCACTTTATCTTTGTAATGGGACTTCAATGCAAATGTAGGCTTAAACTGCACCTCTGCCATCATGTAGACTGAATGTCTAAACTGTCACGTCCTTGTCTTAATTAAAAAACACTTCATGTATGTATAAATTCTTTGTGTAAATTAATAAATACAGTAGCGTAAGAGAAATCATAAATCAGAGCTTTTTTGTAGTATCACATCCCTTTTGTGGATAGTAACTTCCACTTATTCTCTTTTGTGTCTGAGTCCTATGGTACATTATATGGACAAAGTATTGGGACACCTCCACATCACACCCCTGGAGCTTTTATGAATCCTGTTCTAAATCCTTAGGCATTAATATGGAGTTGGTCCCCCTTTGCAGCTCTAACAGCTTCCACTCTTCTGGGAAGCTTCCTACAAGATTTTGGAGAGAGTCTGTGGGAATTTTTGTCCATTCATCCAGAAGAGCATTTGTAAGGTTAGTACTGATGTTGGACGAGAGGGTCTGGCTCACAATCTACGTTCTAGTTCATCCCAAAGGTGTTTTTTCCACACCAAACTCACCCAGCCAGGCCTTTATGGAGCTGCTTTATGCTCTGGGTCTCAGTCATGCTGGAACAGAAAATCAAATCAAATCAAATTTATTTGTATAGCGCTTTTTACAACTGATGTTGTCACAAAGCAGCTTCACAGAAATCCGTTTAGAACAAAGTTTCAACATGAAATGTAAATCCTCCAGGTGAGCAAGCCAGGGGCGACAGTGGCAAGGAAAAACTCCCTCAGAGCTGAGGAAGAAACCTTGGGAGGAACCAAGGCTCACATGGGGGGACCCATCCTCCTCTGGTCAAACTACGTACAAAATTATTATTCTACTAATATTAATAGTAGTAGTAGTGGTAATAGTTAGGAGGTAGTAATAGTTAGGAGACTTCAGTGTAGAGTGGGCAGCCAGTCCAAGGCAGGTGGCGGTGACTGGGTTGTGGGTAACTGGTCTGAAGCGGGTAGCCGGAGAGCTCTACAAACAATCATCCAGCAGTGTCCGGCCGGACAGGTGGGCAGTCGTTTTCTCGGAAGAAAGGTAGGGAAATGGAGTTAGTTTAGTTCTGTAAAATGTTTTTCCCCAAACTGTTTCCACAAAGTTGGAACTGTACAACTGTACAAAATGTCTTGGTGCTGAAGCATTAAGATTCCCCTTCACTGGAACTAAGGGTTCTAGACCAACCCCTGAAAAACAGCCCCATATCATCATCCCTCCTCCACCAAACTTTACAGCTAGCACAGTGCAGTCAGGCAGGTAACGTTCTCCTGGTATTCGCCAAACCCAGACTCGTCCATCAGACTGACAGATAGAGAAGCTGATTCGTCACTCCACAGAATACGTATTCACCGCTCCAGAGTCCAGTGGCTGTGTGTTTACACCGCTGTGACTGTGCCACATTTACAGTCATTGAGCTCATCAGTACGACCCATTCTACTGCTAGTGTGTCTATCGAGACCGCAAGGCTATGTGCTTAATTTTATCCACCTGTTAGCAATAGGTGTGGCTGAAACACCTGAACTCAATAATTAAGAGGGGTGTCCCAATACTTTTGTCTGTATAGCGTATGTTTGTGTGATGTTTCTTCTCCTCCTGGATATCATGGTGAGAATGACTGTTCCATGAGAGGGGTATTGTGATTAAGATAAAAACTTGCTTATGCCCACACTGTCCTACCAGACTTGGTGTTGTGTCCTCTGGTAGTGGAACTGGATTCTCCATCATTGTGTAACTAAGTGAAAGGTGATTTTGTGGAGATTATTTGGGCACTTTCGAGCCCTTGGGTCTGAATGAGACTGTTACAGATGAGATATTATGAGGGACAGACGTGGAAAACCGTGTTTATTTGTGCTTGTGGATTGATCCAAATCCTTTCAATTTTATTAGTTTTGTTGCATAAACATGAATCTTCTTGTCTGCTTGTCTAATTTGCATATAATTCCAATGCATTATAGACTTTCTCTTATTGAGCTCTCTAAAGTTTTAGCATGCAAATTCTTTTTTGTTGTAATTTTTTCCTTAGTTAAGCATTTATGTGTATTTGTGTGTATGTGATCTGTTGAAATGATTTTTATCCATTTTCTTTTCCATTTTTCTCATCCATTTTTGCAGTCCTGTAAATCTGAAATTGAATTGAACTGAATTGCTTTTTTTCATTTGAATTGATTTGCAATCTTCTCTTTTTATTTTTTTTAGAGTGTATAACAGTAAAATAATTTAAGCATTAGAGTTTAACTGACAGTATTTTGTACACCAAACTCAATTTTTTGTAGGGCAAAAATGCGACATTATTTTACTCATCCTCTGATTTTTGCAAACTTTCTGCAGCAACATAAATTCTCTAACCAATCACTGCCATCTCTGCCGTTGGCGTGACCACCCTTAAAATGATAGATTAGCTGTGTTCCTGCAAATAGACAGTTGACAACTGTCAACTCCTGAATGAAATGATGTTCTTCTCGTTACTTTCCGTTGTCCAAAATAGTCAGTAGCCGCATGTCACCGTTTGCCTGTTTTGTTAGGAGCAAAAGAGATCCTATTTGTTAATCATGACATTTAGCCTGCTTTGTGCTTCGACTCGTGTGGAGCTGCACTTGTGAGTTTAGTTTTAGCTCCTGAAAGTGTGAAGAAGCTCTCTGTTCTCTTTTTGCTTTTCTAAAGTCAAACGCATCATGGACAATATCCCAGTTGTGCAAACAATTTGGCAGAATTCCCAAAAAATTTGTGTTTTGTCTGGTGTTTTATAGTTTTGATGCAAAAATAATCATGTTACATTGTATTCAGTGTGTAACAGCCTTTGCTGTGATAAATTACCTGAGAGAAATGTATGAAATTGTATGATGATGATAATATGTATTTATATATATTTTATATATACTTTCATACATAAACATGTTCCAAAGGCTGCTTTGCCAGTCTATTTATGCTTAATTCTGGGAACATTCATCTTCAGCTTTGATCTGAAATACAGTCTTTCAGTGACTCTGAAATGTATGAAGGTACAAATCAATTAAGAACTTCTCAAAAACAATGCAAACATTTTTAATCAACACTAAATAAAACATGCAACAAGTGCAAAGATGCTAAAACAAGTATATGTTCTTTTTGTTCTATATATGATAACACTGTGGCAGCATCATTCTATACAAAGAATTCGAAGTCTGCCTGTTGCAGTTTTAGATAATCTTGTGAATATTACATTACAGTAGTTGTGAAAAGACAAAGCAGTAAGATAAAGGGTCTAACTTGAGCTAAATTTGTTAGAAGCTGTTGTAATGACAATATCAATGAGTTTTATATTTTAAAGTGGAGTCTAGAACAACGCCAAGATTTCTCATTTTCTCCTGATTTGGAAACCAGATTTTCCAGCACACTTACAAGCTTTGTTAACATTCCCTTATTATCTATATAAATGGTAAACTGTTTTTTTCTTTACTTAATTTTAAATTGCTACTATTCATACAGTACTGGGCAGACTGGTTGTTAGTTTATTTCGAACAGTGGGATCATCTGGCTCAAATGTATTTGTGTATAATCCGCATAGCTATGACAATGACAGTTGAAATTGGCAGTTCCAGAAAGGCACACTCAAAGAACTGAAACCATGTTTCCATCAGTATTGACTCTTGAAATCATTTACTATGTTTAGCAATGCTGTTTGTGATGTGATCTAAAGCTGGAATTTTTCAAAAACATTGTTTACACTGAAGAATCTACTTACTTGTGTAAATACTACTTTTTCTGTTATTTCACTTTAGAATTGGTTTGAATCTTTATCTTAATAGCGTCTGGAAATATTTTTTTTTTCTAAAGAACACTTAGAAAGTAAGTAGTAAGATTATCTAAAATCTGCCAGAATTGGGTCAAAAATACAGGTTGAGGAACTTAACTGAGGGATGACTATACGAAGCTCTGTGACATATTTTTCTAAAATCGTGGATGATGGATGTTGTTTGAGGAAATGTCAGATCCTCAGGTCTTACACTGAACCTAATCTAGTATCAGAGAATTTATTATTACAAAAATGTGTTTCAATGAAGATGCTTAAGACAAATCATCAACTGGAGTAGGCAATTGAGTCTTTGAGTTGGTGCAAATGCCTGATTTTCTAGCCAGAGTTTTAGTCTTCTTTTCTACTTTATCTAGAGTTGATCTTAACCTTAATTTGAAAATGTGGACTAGGTCTATTATTTAAAACATTAATAGTATTCACAGCTGATGTATTAAAATCTGGTTACTCAACCCTTTTATTTGTGTTGATGTTGTACAAAAAAAACCGTAGTGAGATTCCCAAACTGCATTTTCCAGCTCTTGGTGCCTCTGACATTAAAGGATTCTCCCTTTCCGCTTCTGTGGGGATCCTGCCACATTTTAAAGACTTGAGACTGTCACCCTCTGTCCCAACAACAGTTTGAAATATTCTGCTTGGATAATATCATTGTCTATTCAAGTTCTGGGCTGAAGGGCTCATGCACCTCAATAGAACTGGAGTACTTGTTGAGACCGGGCTTACTGCTAACGCCTGAGAATGTCACCTAGGCCTAACGGAGGTGCAGTATCTGGGCTGCCAAACTGGTCAGGGCTTGTTGTGAAGAGCAATAAGTAGCAGCCATCATAAATGGTGCACAGCCAAGCCATAGGTATATGCCTTTGGGGGTTAGTGGTCTACTACTGATGTTTTCTGCCTACCTTTTTTCAACAGCTTCACCCCTTCCAGGCCTTATAAAAAAGTATAAGTCATCCTTCCAATTACTGAAATTAGCCCTCATCATTGAGCCTGTCCTCCTCCTATGTGGGGGTGGGATTTTGTCACAGTGGGCCAGATGCCCTTCCATTTGTGCCACCACAGCCCAGCTCAGCCAGAGCCCTGTCCATAGTGCTGAATGTGTGGAAAAGTCTAATACCTAAAAAGGACACCAGAGAATGTTTGCAGAGTACTAGAGGGTTTTCTGGATGCCATGTTCTTTTATTTAACAATTTTAAATGGTTTCAGAAATCTAACATTTCTCTTGATGGAATTTCCAAATGTGTTTGTGGCGGGTAATTAAAAAAGAAGGTGGACACTGGGAGCACAACCATGTAAGAGAAAAGGATCAAGAACTTAAAAAAAAATATGACACAATTGTTGGCAACTGTAACAAGAAAATTCATTATCCTGTTAGTTAATAATGAATATTTAATAGACAAAATGAACACATAACTGCAGACCTCAGTGACTGGATTCACATAAACCCTTGTGAAATCACTAAAAAACCTTCCAACAGACCATGTAGGATTTAATATAAACCTGCAAGAATTGCGCTCCAAACTAACACCGACATACAATACCATACTGCTGCAGCTGCCACTCCCATGGTGCCTTAGAATGTCCTAAAATAATAGACATTCTATAAAATAGAATGTTGCATGGTTCCTACCATAAGCAGATTTCAGACTGGAGGAATAGCTTTATATATTTTTGGAAATCTGTCAGTGTTGATTTCTATTGATATATAATCAGTAATAGACAAGGTCACAAAAAAGAACCTTATGCTTAAAACAAATTACACAAAAATGGTTTTGTGATAATATAAAAGAATCTATTGTTCCACAGACAAACATGCATGTTTGATGTAGAGTACTTGCACCTTTTTCCAATTTCGCCCTCACAAAACACAGCTGGTCAGGGAGGGATCATAAAAGGTGAAGAGCACAGTGCATGAAATGCATCTCCCTCACTAGAACAATAGAAAAAAAGTGCTTTGTGGGCAGTTATAAACAGATTTATCCACAATAATTACCTTGTGGTGTGAAAAACAAGTATGAAAAGAATAAGGCAAATTTCTTTCTAATTTGTACATGATGTTTTACTGTCATTTATTCCTAAATATAAGATTTGGAAAATAAAGTTTTCAGCTAGCTGTATACACAGCCTCATCATTTTAAAGCAGGAGTGGGGGACCTCAGTCCTGAAGGGTTGGCTCCCTGCACAGTTTCCTGCACTTGAGTGATTTTCGTACGCAAGCACACCTGATTCAACTCCTCACATAAATACCAGGTTGACCTGGTTTGCTAGAGCAGGGAAATCTCCCAAATGTGAACTGAACTCCAGCCCTCATTTACCAAGCCCTGAGTTAAAGGCTGAGAGTAAGTAAGAAGTGAATGGCAGTACTTTGGAAATTGTGATAACTGAGTACATACTGTAATAAAACAAGAAAAAAAACTGTTTATATATATTTTTTAAATAACTCATTCCTGAAAATGCTTGTTAACAATTAAAAAACAGCAATGATAGAATTATAAATGAATGAACTGAGATAAAGTTGGAACCACATAAGCTTCATGAACATTGTTGATGGAGATTTTTAATATTTTATTTAAATATGTACATGAAGGTTGAGAATACTGAGCAATGAAAGGTGAGAGGCTTTCACTTTTGTGAACTGGGCTACATCAATTAGACAGACTTAACAAATGAGTCCAACAACAATTTCTTTGCTGCTATTTTATATCACGTTCAAGCACAATTGTAAACAGATTATGTGGAATCTATGTTCAAACAATTTACACTGAACATCTTTTAGAGATAACTGAATTAAATAATGATGTGATTTAGAAAATGAAAATGATCAGTCAATCTAAAACAAGGTGACAAAACTCCTCTGAACAAACCTGCAATGAGAACAACGCTGTTTCTGTCATTCCTGAAGCTGGAAAAGTTCTGGATTAACTGAAACAGAGTACCACAGTCAGTGATCTACAAGACGGAGTGTCCTCAGTATATAATCCTGCATAGACTAGCTTCAGTGTTAGCTTTAATGCTAGATTTAGCTTGTTTAAACTAAACAGAGTTTAAACTTCCATCAAACCCCACTCAAATCTCAATGAAATCTTCTGATTAAACATAAAAACCAAGCACTTTAACTGTCAGTAACTAACTGTTTTCCTGGTTTCATTAATGTAAACATGGTTTCTGGGAATCCTTTTTCACTTTAAATCAGCTAAAATTAGTATCGGTGCTCAAATACTGCAGTAAACATCTTGTGGAACCAATTTATTTTTGAATAACAATAAATAATGATTTATCTCCCCCCAAGTGCGCTAGTGTCTCTTTAAGGTACTCAAATACATTTAGTTCTATTCACACTTAAAGCAGTGGTGCAGATTCACTCCTGTGTGAATGCACTGCTGTGTTACAGGACTATTTCAGCTTCTACAGCTTTTCCCACACTACAGTGATACAGTCTCTCTCTTCTGTGAGCATACTGGTGTGATTGGAGACTGCTCTGTTGACTAAAACTCTTTCCACTGATGGGAAATTTTGAATAAATATACCCTTAATCAATAAGTAAATAGACTACACATGTAACCAGTAATCAAATAGTTAAGCATTGGCTAAAAGGGAATATTAATGTCTCACTGAGAGGTAATACAGGACGCACTGGGCCATTGGGTCTGCCCATTCGAGGGCTTTCCAAAAGTAGATGAAATTAGATGACCTTACTTGCAGGTGCACTCTCAGTGAACTCTATGATATATGGTCCTGTAGGGCCTGGTACACTCAGATACACTGGTACGAACTGGCTGAAACCAGCTTTTTTAGAAGAAGTGTTGTATGTAGTGAACTTAAGAGAGGCCAAGTGATGGAGAAGTTTTTGCATGGGGACTAATGGAACATCAAGTTTGAGGTGACATCATAACCCCAGATAAGGGTATATAAGGTGCTATCAGAACACTGTATTTACGCAGTTGGGTCTCTCAAGACCTGCGTGCCATCAATGCTGGAATAAAGAGGAAGCCTTTTTCTTTTTCCACAAACTCAGCATCTGAACACTTTTTCCTTTTTGACATCTTTTGAGAACTTAGATTTTGATTTCTGTTATTAGTGTGTCTATCCAGTATTAAAGATTTCTTTTTTAGTAATACAATGTTGGAGGCCTGGGGTTAAAAGGGATAGCCTTTGACCCCGACACCACACTCAGTGATACGGCTGCTCTCCTGTGTGTCTGCTCTGGTGTTTTTGGAGATAACTCTGTAAAGTAAAACTCTTCCCACACTCTGAGCAGTGATACGGCTTCACTCTAGTGTGAATGCGCTGGTGTTTTTGGAGAGTAGTCTGTTGCGTAAAACTCTTCCCGCAGTCTGAGCAGTGAAATGGTTTCTCTCCTGTGTGGATGCGCTGATGTTTCTTGAGATTTTCCATGACGTTAAAGCTCCTGCAACAATAAGAGCAGTGATACGGCTTCTCTCCTGTGTGAATGCGTTGGTGTGTTTTGAGATTAGACTTGACGTTAAAACTCTTCCCACACTCTGAGCACTGATACGGTTTCTCTCCGGTGTGAATGAGCTGGTGTTCTTTCAGGCTACTCCGTGAAGTAAAGCTCTTCCCACATTCTGAGCAGTAATACGGCTTCTCTCCAGTGTGAATGCGCTGGTGTATTTTGAAAAGACTCTGATAAGTAAAACTCTTTCCACAGTCTGAGCAGCGATACAGTTTCTGTCCTGTGTGAATGCGCTGGTGTTTCCTGAGATTTTCCATGACGTTAAAATTCCTCCCACAGTAAAAGCAGCGATAAGGCTTCACTCCTGTGTGAATGTGCTGGTGAATTTGGAGACGTTTCTGTAGACAACGTTTCCCACACAGTGAGCAGTGGAGATTTCTCTTCTTTCTTTTATTTTTCTGAATTTGTCTGCATGATGTGCTAACGTGGAGAACACCAGAGGTTGTTCGCCGAGTACTGGAACCTTTTCTGGATGCCAAGTATGAGAATGTGGACACAGGGAGCAGAACCCTAGAAAAGAAAAAATAAAGAAATTCACAACTCAGAAATATGACACAGAATTGCTGACAATTGTAACAAGAAAAGTCAATATTCAAATATAAATCAAACAAAATAAAAACAAATAATCAAAGTTAAACAAAAATAGCCGCTACACAGCTGCCCAGCAAAACACCAAAAATAGCCGCTCTGTGGTTTAATTCCTGCTTTGTATTTACTAGGGAATAAAGGCCGTTTTGGTGAAGTTACTCACAGTGAGCCTGATGACCATGACTGACCTGTTATTTCAGCAGAGGATAATGTGTTTGTGATCAGACTGTGTCAGATATTGGATGTGCATGGGACCGGGTCAAATCGTTTCGGTTGTTGGCGGAGAAAACAGTCCTGCGCAGACCTCTAGATGGATGGACAGATAGTAGAACACCTTTAGATCCCATTAGGAAACCATCAAATGCATTTAGAATTGGATTTGATGCATTTAGTATTGCAGATTGCTGAGTCGGACGCTCTGTTGTCTAACTTTTGAGCTCCATTATGGAGGATTGATATTGAAGCAGACAGCACTAAACATCATTTGTTCGGATAAAACGTAGTTATTTTAAACATATTAATAAATCTAAATTAATATTCAATGACTTATTCTTAAACATTAGAGCTTTTAGCTGTATGTGGGGCAAAGGAACAGACTGAGAACAGCTTTTTGCCTGTCTCTAAATGTCTGGAACATTGATCTGGTTTTAAAGTGACTGCTAGTGCATCATAGAATAATATGACTGTATATTTCATCCACATGTATAGTGTTAATTACTAAGCATCTTGAATGTATTTCACAGGAGAAACACATCTGCATAGGATATTTCATCTGAGAAAGAACATTTCCCCTAAAAGCTGTATTAACAACAACAGATCCAGTAATAATATGTTCGTGTTAGTCAATAATTGTGTACACAGTAAACGTGTACACCTCACTGATGACCTCACCTGGTCCCTCCACACCAACACTACTGTGAGATCTGCCCGTCAGCGTCTGTTCTTCCTGCGCAGGCTCAGGAAGTTTGGTCTGCCTCCTCAGATCCTCACCAACTTCTACAGATGCACCATAGAGAGCTTCCTCATGGCCTGCATCACTGTCTGGTACAGCAGCTGCACCGCCTGCGACCTCAAGGCCCTTAAAGGAGTGGTGAGGACGGCAGAAGCCATCATAGGCAACAGACTACCAGCCTTACAGGACATCTACCAGTCCCGCTGCCTTAGGAAGATCAGACAGATCCGGTCAGACAGCAGCCACCCAGCACACGGCCTGTTCATCATCCTGCCATCAGGCAGGATATTCTGCAGCATACAGGCTAGAACAACCCGGTTAGTGAACAGTTTCTACCCACAGGCTATCAGGCTTCTGAACAAGCTGAGATGCTGTGGGTCCTTCACCAACTATCATTTCACTCGGCCACTTTGTTAGTATTATTATTATTATTATTATTATTATATCTCTGCTATGGACAATAACACTAAACCACTTTAAAATTTATATATATTTTTCACAGATTATCCTTTATTTAAAATATTTGTACATAGCACGGAGTTTTCTTACATGGGTCCCTCCTGTCTCTGTATATTTTGTGTTTATTTTGTGTATATTTAATATTTCAGTTTAGTATTTTTCTTTTGTAGTCTTACTTTGTTCCGTTTGTTTTTAGTATGTATATAATGCTGCACATATTTATTCAATATTGTCATTATATGCTGTTATCTGCACTTCCTTGTACAGTCATTATTGCACTGTCTTTGCTATCTCAGCTTATAGATCTTATTGCATATTTTTGTATGTTTCTAGTTGTATATATGCCTGTAGAAAGGCCTTTTTGTATACACTGTTCTTTGTATACTGCTTAACCCTTATTACTGTAACTGTCCTGTGTTGTGTGACTGATACTGGCTGCTAAATTTCCTTCAGGATCAATAAAGTATCTGTCTGTCTGTCTGTCTGTCTACTAATGAATACTTCATGCACTGTTCATCGGGTGAAGACACGCTGCCCTACAACCTTTTAAACCCTTTTCGCTTTCCGTAGTTCCAGTGTTGTTCGGCGTTGTTTTCAGTGAATGCGCGCTCCCGAGGACCTGGCTTATCAGAGGCAGGGTGAATTTGAGGTGAACTGAATCGGAAACAGCACCTGCCCGGTTACGTAGTGAGTCCAGACATATGAAAGCACTGTTATGACCCAAAATCACAGTTATAAAGCTGACATTACTCATCAGTTTTCTCTCAGACTCAGCATAACGATAAACACTGAAGCAGATCAGCTCTTCACCTTCCACCGTGTGTTGATCTGAGCTGCGGTGTTTATGATGAGGCGCAGCTCCTGGTTTTCTCTCCTGGATCAAAGCGGGATCTTCCGCTTCTCCGCTTTGCTGGAGTTGAAGAGCCACACGTAGACAATCAGCGCCCCCTCCTGGACTGCAGGGAAGACTGCGGGCGTGGTTTTTAATACCACCCGAATTCCGACTAAACCCGCCTCCTGCGCTGCGATAGGGTAATATTTCATATGGGCAGCGCGCTGATTGGTCAATTGTAGTCTTTCAGCTTAGCAACTTTTATTTGCATCAACACATATTCAGACATATTAAGGAGCAGCAGAAAGTTACAATTACTGAAGAGAAGGTTAAAAAAATGTCTACAAAATACTAACTGTATAATTTTATTGTGAGGGCACATCTGGAAACATATGGATCACATGTGGCACAAAACGCACATTTATCAATTTAAATGCAAACTTGTTATGAGAAGAACACAAAGCAACTATTTAGTTACAAAGCACAGAAGGAGACAATGACCGGATGTTTATCAATACATTTACATTTATGGATAAAAATGTGGATTTAAAAAAATGACAAGACTAATATATAAATTAAATTAAGAGATGGACGTGCATTTGGCCACAGTTAGGTCACTGACACTATGTCAATATATGTAAATGTTACATAAATGTTGTGATGTTAAAATGTCAGATCAGTTCTAAACTGTGAGGAGCAGTTGCACTGTCATTAGCTGAGGTTCAGAGTTTAACCCGAATTTAAACCTGGATGAGTCACGTGGGTTCTTAAACTCCCTTGCTGTGTCCTTGCAAACTGCAGTTTAAAGTGGACATGAATCGGACATCAGAACACGTTTCGTCTTTATTGTGACGTATTTCCGGGTGAAACAGGCTCCTGATTGGATTGTGAAAAGTGGGCATTCCGGAATGAACACATAGTTTGACTCTTCTATACTGATTGGTCAGACTCTGATGGTCAGCAGAATCTGTCTGTTTTACAGAAAAGCCAAAGGGAAAAAAATTAAAAAACATTGGTCTATCATTAGCTGACCCTCACAGCCTCTCAGCCTCACAGTCTCTCAGCCCCTCAGCCTCC